GTTAAGGATAGTTGGTTTGTCCCTATTTCCACTCTTGTGCCACACAATGCGAAATCGTTGACACACTTATTAGGGTGGACAGCGAATTGGGGCGAGATGGGATAGGTTCAGCGAGATGGAGATGTTATCATTCCATACTCCAACTGTAGTCAAAGTGTTAAGGAGGTAGTGGTTTGTCACTATTCAGTCTTGTGCCTACAACAAATGCGAAATCGTTGACACCTTATTCAGCGAAATACTACATATCTCCATGTTTTGATGTGTGTGCAGTTTGGCCTACCACATACCAGAAGAAGGGCTGGAAGACATGTCTGGTGTGTGCCGACACGTCAGGAGCTGGTGCCTTCGACCAACTCACAGAATGCACGAAGGCTCGCGTTCGTTCTATGGCAGGTAATTGTGTAGCGTTGAAGGACCATTGATAGATGTTACTGACACTTTTTACGCTGGAAATAGTTGAAAAAATTCTCACCTGCCGAAGTCATCTGTGCAATTTTTTGGGGCAGGGACCACAATTCTCTGTCTCTTCTGAAGCTCAAGTGTATTTCATGCGCATCCTTACCTGTGCGTTTAATATATGCACCTTAAATTTGCTACTCTTAAACTACGATTCATGGTATGTATACAATTTCATCAGCTATACGGAGCTGGCTCAGTGTGTGATAGCTCAGGAGGGAGTGATATACACTTCAAGGAAGACTCTTTTGAGTCATCATCGTTGACGCAAACTGTGGTAACCAACTAGCGATCATATACGATAGTCTAGTCCCGTCACCCGAGCCCCGGAAGTCATTGTGTAAGCTCGTTGTATGGAGGATCGCATACGTACTACTTCGGCATTACTGCGGTTATGGACACTGCAGCTAACTTTTTACTGAAATACCCGTAGTTCCCCGTTATTGAAGGATAATGGAATCAGTCCGATTGGAAAGTGTCAAAGATTACAGTAGTGCTGAGCATCTTTTACAATCAGTAAAATATGACAAGTTGTGAAAATTTGGAGCTCAGGTGAAGTCAGATAGACTTGAGATATAAATTGTGCATAATATCTGGCAGTGGTCGGCATAAACAGGAGGAGCTCTGTTTGACGAGATGCTGCAGTCCTCCTCAGGCGATCGTAAGTGTGCAGTATCAGCAATAGAACGTATAATAAGGTCTACTCAGGTTCCTCACAGGATCGGGACAATCTCAGATTTCGTGTTGGATGGTCAGTACACACGACTTCTCCTGCCATTAAAAGGATGTGGACGTATACATGATGAAAGGGGCTAAATTTCGACATGTGACTAAAACGGGACTACATGCATTCTTTCACTGTGTGCCCCTATTGTTTTGTTTTTGGTCTACTTCTTTAGAACGATATCTAACTTCAGACTGCAGCGAGTGTCCTTTGAACAGCAGTTTTCCCCACCCCTTGCCGCTTATCCCCAGGCAACGTACTCGCTATTATCATCCAGGAACAGAGGTCAGGCTTGTGATCTCAGGCCAGAGCCTTCAAAGAGAAGGTCGACGTTGCCCTGCAAGCAGGGAGTCGCCGTGATTGTTCACCAACTGGACGGTCAGCGCCAAAGGGGTAGGAGCCCTCAGTGCGTAGAACAAACCTTACCGTTTTGGTTGGCCCGCATCATCTTCTACTTTTTGAATCCTTCCCCTTCCTCTGCATCATTGTTTCTTCATGAAACAACTTTCCTCTCTCTCTGCTGTACATTCATAACTAAAACAAGAAGCACCCTCAGTAATACTCATCAATTGATTCTCCTTGCCTCGTCCCTCTGACTCAACTTTAACATTATTTCGAACAGCATCTCTCCCAGGGCTGGCGGCTACGAGAAGCCCCTCATCACATTCATAGGTACAGGTATGAACTCCACCTAGGCTCCTTGATGAGAGATGGAGTGCCTTTTCAATGACAAAACCCTTGCTCGTTCGCTACGCTAGCAACTGCACTTATTCCAGTGTCCGTTCCCCAGGCACTTTCTGTTGCGGTTCTGGACAACTAATAGTTCTCCCTATATATATACGGATTCAACACTGGTTTCCCCCCTACACACTTCGATCTTAATACTTAATACTTAACCAGCCACGGACACGCACTTCAAATATGTCCAGAGCCTTCAGTAATTCCATACGATATATACTGGGGGCATATAATATCAGGCGTATACTATTTGCTGCTTATTAAGCCGCAGAAAAATGTGCAACAAGTATTAGTTATTTTCATACAACCTTTAGCGTTTGAGCATGCATGATGTAAAATTTTTCTCAGTAATAATATACCCACTGTCACTGCTTGATTCAAGGCTATAGTCTTTATGTATGGAGAAGCTATCACTGTGTACTAGGTATGGGAGATCTGAGGGGCTGATGGAGAAGGTCAGTGACCTCATACTGGACAGAATAAGACTATGGACAACTGAAACATGGTCGGTGCAATCATCAAGACCACACCAGAATTTCCTCTATCAAATTGTTTTCACTGCAGGTCAGTTCACGTTGAGGGATAGACGGAACAGTTTTCAGAACATCATGAAAATGGGGCTTTCACCAAATCTTTGTGAGTATTGTTTTATGATGTAGAAGTTAAATGCACAAAATGTGGATGTGTTTCTTGGTTTGACCAATGTTATAGGTTGGTGTAATGTGTTGTTTTTGAAATTTTCTTCCTATGAGTTTTAATAAAGCTGTACTGGCACTGAAAGAGGGCAGCCAGTTGATCCTTATCATATAGTTTATCCCTCTTAAAATTCTATGCATGAGAATATGTTGATTCTTTAAAACATAACATTCTGTGGTTGCTTCTCTCTGTGTCACAGGGCATGATACCAGGCTTCAGCCCCGACTTTTGAGCAAAGGAAACGAGAGAGAATCAATGCAAAACTAAAGAGACTGATGACTTGATGGACAGCATGAACTATCAAGGTACAGATTTTCTAAACGTGCGTTTCAGTTTGTCTTCCCCAACTGTTTTGTTTAATTTCCTGTTTCAGAACTGGATCATCCCACGGAGCCCAAACTGTTTCGAAGCAGCCGTGACGATCAGCTAGAGTGGCCATAGATCCGTATGACACACATAACATACACCTTACACTGTGTATTCTTTTACAAACCCAATCTAGTCATATCCCTCTTATATCAACAATCTGTCAAAACTGTGTGTGTCTGCTTCGTGTACAAGTCATATATAATTTATGATTACCGGCACTCTTCGTGCATTGGCAAATTCGCCGGTATACTGGAGGAAGTCTATACAGGAGTAGCATGGCATACATTTGACTAGTCCTGTTGTTGGTGTTGTTGAAGGTACCAGTGTGCGGAGGTGAGCGAACGTCTGAGCACGTATTCAAACTCTCGCCATAGGTGAAGAAGAGTGAGGAATCAGGGTCTGTATCACAAGTGAGACTACTAACTGCACAATCTGTGTATAAAACCTCTGAAAAGGTTCCTCGGCTATAGGGTTAGAGATGTGCCCATTGATTTGTAGGTGGTGACATGGGAAAGAATGTGAATCCAGCGCAGATGGCCAAACTGAACCAGCAGATGGCAAAGATGATGGACCCCAGAGTCCTACAGCAGATGGGTAAGGAGAAAACCTACCATAGACCAATACTCCCCACTCACTATACAGTATGTCATAATCTGAGGAGGCACTTGCTAGGGGGGTGTGGGGTTTTTTTTTTCTTCATTTTTAGCCAGAAACTTTCAAGTAAGAGACTTTGCTGTTAGACTCCGTGAAAAAATGTGAAATTATGTGGGTAGAGACCGTGTTTCTATTATTGTGTTGAATGGGTCTTGCTGTATTTTATGTATATACCGTAATTCTTCGCTTTTGACTTTCTCTTACACTACTTCTCTCTTTGTATCTCCCGAACTCAGGTGGAATGAGTGGTCTTCAGAACATGATGAGACAATTCCAGCAGGGGGCATCCATATGCCGGGGTTCAAGGGAAAATGACTTTCATTCAAGCATATTTTCATGTCACTCTGCTGTTTTCCCCCATTATTTCAGCTCAATTTGCCACATGAGGCAAAGATTAGCTAGCGCATCGCTTTTGTGTTCAATCTGCTCTGGACTGTGATTCAACGAAAAACGCGTTTTGATTATAGTGGTCAGTGTATTATTCACTAGCCTGCTATATATGTGTACTATACAAGTATGTACATTTTCGTATTATCTACGACGGGCTCAGTGGACTGATATACACACTGTAGGATTGAAGTGAGGCTTTCCTTTTAATTGATTCCTTCAACATTCTGATCTCATAGAGAGTACATTCAGTTGTCGGCTTATTCAGTCTCATAGCCATCCTAAGAAACCCCGCCCCGATTTTACCATGGGCTGAAATGGCGCACAGATAGACATCAACTGTTGTGGTCTTTTCAAAGCTAAGCAGAGAATCGCGGTAACTCAGCATTCTATCCTTCAGTTCAGGACAATACTTGTCGACAATTTTGAAGATTATCTCAAAATTTGAGTAGCTGCAGTGTCGGCGGAGTACTGAAAACTGTTCTGAAATGTTTCTGACGGCTTCATTTTCTTTTCTATACAAGAGGTTAATGTCCCCTAAACTCTCCAGGTATTCCTGGAACTCTTTGAAGAATTTTCCATCCTCTCTCTCTCTTTCGCACAGTAGCAGAAGTGATTTAGACATTAGGTTGCTGAATTCTTCTTCTAGATTTTCTATCGTGGATTTAACTTGTGACACCCTGTCGTCGAGAGAAATGGAAGTATTGAGTGAGGATTCTGGTGTGGAAGACTGGCCTAGTGGTGGCATGGCTAATGCAGGCATGTCGGCAGACACAAACTGCAATCCTGCGAAAAGTTTGTCCCAGCTTGCATCTGCATCACAGTCAAGCCAAGCCCGAGCAAACTGTTCTTTGCAACAGTCGCAGCTGTAGTTTGCCGTGATGGCATCAAGGGTTTTTCGTGGCACACCAAGCTGGTAGAATAGAGCTCTTGTCTCTTCTAAGGAGATCAGCTGAATAGCCATCGTAACGTCCTGTTTTGAAAAGTTGCCTAATTCTACTTCATCTCCAGGTTCAGAAAAGTATTCAGGAACGCCCTCTGAATGTTCGTCCTCAAAATTAGCATCTTTTTCAAGGTACCTGCAGGACAATAATAATGTATGCAGAGGTGTAGGACCTGAAAGCACTAGACTTACTCTAAGAAGTCCAATTGATTTGTCACTTTTTCAACTTCTCTCCACAGGCATGACTGATCATGACGGTGTAATGCTGATAGCTGTCCCTGCCAACCGCACCCCTTGTCTTTGTGGTAGCAGAGCACGCTAAGTTTCTTCACTTGACTCTGAAAGTGTTTGTTGAGTACAGTGTTCCAACATTGCTCACCGCACAGTGGACATGCCCCTCCCTCTCCCTGTATCCTGGTAGCAGCTTCAGGTGAGAGGTGTTGCCCACAGCATGACGTGAGGCGAGGCTGAACCAGCAGACTACCGTCCACTGGGCAGAAGAAGTTGCGTGATGGATGCTCGGGAAATGGATATTCTATTTCTGCCGTAGGTTGCAATAGTGAACTAAATATTGTATGCTCTTGTTGTGTAAACCTGCATTAATTAAAGTAGAAAACACTCAAGCCCATAGCAATAAAATCATTGACTATGCACATATGCACAATAAATAATAACTAAAATCACGCTATACCTTTCTTTTACTTGACGCTGGAAGTGTTTGTTCAGTACAGTGCTCCAACCTGAAGTTTTACACAGCGGACATGGCATTCCGTCCCTCTGGATTGTGGTGGCAGCTTCTGGTGAAATGTGGGCGCCACAGCATAATGTGAGGTGAGGCTGGAGCAACAACTTGTATGTCACTGGACATATGAAGTCAGCTGGGGGTTCTTCTGCGTCGTACTTCATCTTCTTCCTTCGTGGTGGTAAACTTAAAGCAAGGTGTGGAAATAGAGATGTGAGGGAGAGAAACATTCAATGGTATGCACAATGTGATTTTGATTTAAAAGGTGTATACATACTTTTTTTCAACTGGGCTCAAAGCAACTGGATGACTGTCCTTGATCTTGGACTCAGTGACCAACTATGGAAAGACCAACAATTTTAGCTGCAATTTTCAAGAGTAGTATTGAGTGGTTGTTTGAATAATGCATACCTTACGCTTGTGTAAGTGAAAAACAGAGCAGCCATCAATCTCCAGTTTAGTAGCAGAATATTTCATGAGAATCTCTTCCGGAACGTTTGATTTCAGTTTCTCAACAACAGATTCAGGGACATACCAGGTGACGATGAAGGAGCAGGGACGTATTTCAGCCACCATCATGGCACACTCTCGCAGCTTGTAGTGACAGGCGTACTCTTGTCGAAACTGTTCAACTACTTCTAGTGTCACATCATTGGGCCAATTGAAGACTGCAACCACTTCTCGGAATTCTGATGAAAGCTTGACGTAGCGCTTTTTCTGTGTTTCACAAAACAACTTCAGTGGTGTTTTTTCTCTGAACTTCTGTATATCTTCTTTGTACTTCCCCATATCACTTTTGATTCCCAGATCAAACTCATTTGCCAGATGATCCAACAGGTCATACGAGAGATAGTTCAGATGGGTGTTTAAAGTCCCAAAAAGCTCGACTTGGTCAGCAGCTTGGTAGAGCACACTTAGAAAACTGTCTAAGAACTGTTTGTGTTCAGGTATATCGTCTGCTGGTAGATCTGCTAGTGCGTCAACTATTTTCTTGACAGGGATGTTGGATTGTTTGAGACTGTCTCTAGTGGCCCATTTCAACTTGTTAAACCTCTTTTCAAACTGTTTGATCTTTGCCTTCACGTATCTAGGAGTCACCGAACCTGTGGAAGCCACAACCACCACAGAGATAAGGTGGTGAGCCGAACAAAGCGCACAGCTGTGAAAATAGGGTGTGTTTGTAGGGCAGTTTTGTAAAAAATAGGTGAGAAATAAATTACTGAGCAAATAATACTTTGTGTTTTTCTAACTCCCTCCCCAACTCACTGGATTCAGGCGATGTTGGTATGAACTGCTGTTGGTGTTCTTGCTGCGATTCTACTAAGTATATATTAGAATAGGGGCTACATTAATAGCTATGCAGTACAATTCCTAACAAACTGACCATGAGTTTGGCATGAGTCAGTAGGTAGGGGCGGATTACTCACTGTGGAAGAAATGTGATATGCCACACAAACATACCATTTTGTGTTACTATAGCTACCTTGGGTAGAATGTGAGTGAGGGAAATATTTTGCCACCACTTCCTCCGCTAGTCGCGGTAGGTTGACTAGGTGGCTTTTGAGAGCATCTACAATCAACCTCCACGTTGGTCTGGGCTCTACTTGCTTCAGGAGGTACTCAATGATGGCAGTGAGTCGCTCCTGTGGATCCCGATGGGTCCTACATATGCTTTTGACATCACTGGGCCGCAGCTTTAGTTTCAAGCCAAGTTCGTAAGCGCTGTCCTTCGCGTCTAATATCGTTTCTACGATCTCACCAAGATCGCCTTTTTTCAGGGTCTCTTGGCCTGCAGGTGCTGCAAAAGAATTAAAATTGACAAGGCAAGTTTGGAACAGAAATCCTAACCTGCCGCCATAGAATCGTTGAACGTAAGGCTAGCTAGACTGCTGAGTAGACTCGTCTCGTGCCGCGGGCATGCGCGCGCGCGCAGTCTCGGGATCATGAGGGCCAAGGGGGGCGGGCACGGCTGTTTCGATTGCGCGTTTTCGATACATAAAGTTGTACGATGACGTAATTCTGAAATTTTGAAATTGTCGCCGACGCTTGTTCCGTTCCGCCGCCGCAGCTAGCTCTTTCGGCGCACACGTGTCGTTTCTGCTGAGTTGCCTTTGTGGACCTGAGCGTTTTCGTCCAAGCCGTTTCAAAATCCGCCGAACGTGGACGGCCTTACACGTTCCCAAGTAGTATGGTCGATTCAAGCGGTCTTACTGTTCACTTGCGAATTTTCTCAGAAACGGATTTGCGCCAGAAACAAGGCCAAAGGATGTACCCTGCCCAGGGACCTGAAGTTATATTCTACTTCGCATTTTTTTCTTATGCGTGGCAGAGCAAAAAAGATCTTGGTTATTATGATACGCAATTCTTCATGTAAGTTTGATAACGTAGCTAAGCTGTAACTCTTCGGTGATCTTCCTGCGCTTTGTAGGGGGTTGTGCGGTGACATGACTGGGTAGGCTTTTCAGAAGGTGCTCTGTAACTACCCGTCGTAGCCTCTCCACGCGGTCGTGGCGCTGGTTTCGGTGCCTTTGCTCTATCTTGTTGACTGCCCCATCCCAAGTCCACCCCACTTGCTGCTCCAACTATATACTTTCTTCCCACACCTCCTGCAGCAGACCAGGAGTGACTCGAGGAGCTTCAGCAGCACAGTGAGGTGGGAGGATGTACTCCAGTGTGTGGTGGTACGTACATGTACAGATGTTGCACCCATGCACAGACACATGATGTGCAGCAGTGTGCTCCACATGGGAGTTGCAGAGGTCTGACTAATACCTCCAGACACAGTGGACACTCAACGTCACCGAGTGTGAGGTGGGAGGATGGTTGGTGGTGGACCAAGTTGGGAAATGGTCTTCACCAATCTTTGCCGTGGCCCCGGGCAACCCTCACTGCTCCTCTTTCTCGGTCTGCCGACCTGTCGTGACCCACGGAAGTGGCTGCATGTCTATTTTAGAACAGTGTTTTGTGTACATACATACTGTGTATACTTGGTTTTATTTTCTTACTGCACAGTTTTCTGGAGTGTGTTTGTTCCAAAATAATATGTGTCCCGGACATTGTTGGGGTCCCCATTGGCGTCTCTCTCTTCTTTAACCCTCGGCACGCATGTGCAGCGAAAGCAGTACTTGGTTTGTCATTCTGTCTGTCCGTCCGTCTGTCTGTTACCACGTTTTCTCCCGCTACGCGCAACAAGACGGCCAAAAAGCGATGGCGGGTGAATCACAGGATCATCCCTCTCAGCCAAGACACCTAGACAGCCAGAAGATCTGATGTGTGTGCTCTAACACTGTACTTGCTCTCCCTACTACTGCAGTGCTTCCCACACATACGACAGTGTTTGGGAAGTTGAGTGTAATGGAACTCATGCCCTTCAGAATCCGTCATGCTCCTGTAATTTATGTATATTTTTTGGATTGATGTTTCTTTTTCCAAACAATGCGAAGCTGGTTCTAGTCCGCACTAACGTACGTGTGGATTCCTCAGCTATGGTTTACTACACTGGGTTTCCCAGGGAAAATTCCCTATCACGGGCAGAGTGAGTAAAAACAAAGGACCTTCCCTTGCAGTACCGCGAGGTTTGTGCGTGCGCACCTGCGGTAACAGTGTCGGGGCGCTGCGCCGTTCTGTGTTATGCTCTCTAGAGAGACCACTCTGGCTATCTGAGAATGTGTGGAATGTAACAAAGGAAGCTTTTCGGCCCAACGAAGGCCCCAAGCTTCCTTCCCGAAACCGCGACTAACTTCCGAATCTTGCGCGAGCCCCGTAACTAAGGTAACGGTAATACCGTAATGTTCTAAATTAGCGCTAAATATCCTACGTGAAACAGCCGTGGGGGATGGACTGGCTGATGCTTCTTCAATGAGATCAACGTCCGTCATTAGCCGGCTATGTAGCTAGCTAGCTAGAGCTAGCTATAGAATGTAGCCAAGAACGCCTTAGCCATTTTAATTGCACATAGCTAGCTATCTAGTAAAACGGGTTATTTAGTCGCAGGCATTTGTAACATGAGACATACCTAATCCGAGGGCATGCCCCTGATCCACCCTCGCCTGTCTAAAGCCTATTGCTTACCTCGCCCTACGAGCTGCTCCCCTTTATGGATCGACCTGTACCTGCTACTGCAGCCCCTACAAGCGATGAAATTTTGAGAGACGATGATCTTGCCGAGGTCCTACGACAGCTGTTGAAGGCAAAGAACAAGGCCTACGAATTAGGTCTGGAGTTGAAACTTCCTCAATATGAGGTCGAGAGCATACGCGACACCTATCAAGACCCGCAAGAGCGGCTCACACGAGTAATCGAGAAGTTCCTGAAGCAAGCATGTCCCGAGCCGACCTGGAGGGTCATTGTCCGTGCTCTCAAGAGTCCGTTAGTCAACAACGCCCAACTCGCTAAGGAAATAGAAACAGCTCACTTTGCTGATTCTATCATAACAAGGGAAGCTTCAGCTGATGGTAAATCCGTATATACTATATTTATTAACATCTGACTGCATAATTATATGACCTGTCCCAATGTATCAGTGGAATGAACACTCACTCTGGTCACCTAATAAGTTCTGATATCTCTGGATAACACTCTTTTTGTAGGTCCAGTTAGTGCGGAAATCGAAAAGACCACCAAAAGATCAGGGTCACCGGTTCCATGTGAGTTATGAATGTTGATGTGGAATTAAAGAAAGCTATAGCTAACATCCCACGTCTAGATCCAATGACAGTTGAGTATGTGGAAAAGAAGATAAAGCAGTTTGAAAGAAGATTCAATAAGACACTGAAATGGGCCACCAGAGATTGCCTCAAGAAACGTGGTGTTTCTGTAGAGAAAGTTGTTGACGCTCTAGCCGACTTGCCTGCTGATGATGTCCCTGAGCACAAGCAATTCTTAGAGAGCCAACTGAACATTCTGTACCAAGCAAGTGATCTAACAGAACTCTTTGGGTCCCTAAACTACAACATGAACTATCTCTCATACCACTTAGTGGAGCACCTAATTCGGGAGTTTGATTTAGTCATCAGAAGTGAAATGGAGGCCTACAAAGAAGATTTACGTCAATTCAGAGAGAAAACACCTCTGAAGCTGTTCCACAAAACACAGAAGAAGAGGCACGTAGATCCCCCGTCAAAATTTGATAAGATAGTTGCAAAATTTGAGTGGCCAGAAGATCGCAATGACATTACCCTGGAAGATGTGGAGAAATTCCGACAGGAGTATGCGTACAGCTATGGCCTCCATGACTGTGCGATGATGCTCTCCGAGATATTCCCCAACTGCTTCATAGTCACCTGGCTGGTCCCCGGCTCAATAGTCACAAAACTGAAAAGGAATGTGCCAACAAATATGCTTAGGAAGCACTTCGTAAGTGAATTCACAGTTGCTGGCGAATGTGTGGCCTACTTTAGTGCACATAAGGTATGTGTGTGAGTGCGGGAAATTCTTGTTTAGCTATCTGTCATGCATGAACTTCGTTTCTAATAGATGCCAACTAACTTACCCCAAAACCTGTCTCTGCCTGAAGAGGATGGTGTAAGGTAAAGGAGTAATCACAGAACCTAGTTGAATCAAGTCAACTGCACTTGTATTATTTTTTCTGCAGACAAATGTCAGATGATTTGGAGATGCATTCACTCGACAACATACTTTTAGTTACTTCTATCGCAAAGCTACTCTCAGCAGAAGAAATCTACCACATTGCAGAGGTATGGCTGCAAGGCAAGACTGACATTAGCATTTATAATCCCACAAATGACAATGAGCTTTTTGGACTGAAACTTCTTATGACATTAAAGAACATGGGGATGTTTTCCTGCACAAAGCTTCAAGGACTACTAGATATCATGAGATGCATCAATCGCTATGATTTAATTGAGAAAGTTGAATCGTTCATCAAAGAGAGGGGGGAAAGTCTGGGGGAAATGTACACCAAGGAGAAAAAAGCTTCCCAAGGAGAACGGCAGCAGTTACACGAGATTATGTTAATGCGTAGTATGGAATTAGAACCGCAAATTATGGAGCTGCGAGAACCAGACCTTGTGGTTGATAAAGGCCTTAGAGTCGTGCAGAAGGCAAAGGCTGTCACTCAAAGCCTCACCACTGACCTAAGCCGAGACCGGACCTCTTTGGCTCGCCACCTCAGTGTGACTAGCCCTATTAGCAGAAGCAAGTTACGACCAGTACTATCTATGCCACTTCTGCAACATTCGGGGAACAGGCCAATACCAAAACCAAAACCAGCCACACTCGATCGTGGAGCTGCACCACACATACCAAAATGTGAGTAGTGACTTTAAATGCCTGGCAAAATAGCTAGCTGTGTAGAGAAGGTTTTCTAGACTGGTTCTCTAGTAATCTGCAACATGCATGAGTTTTTATCATGGTGTCTTATGGACATTTATAATACTGTATATACTTCAAACTGGATGGATTCCCATGTAGCTAAAAAACTGCTCAAAGAAAGTGCCGCCTATGGAGGTCCTCACTTAACTACTGAAAAGGCAGCCACAGAAGAAGATGATGATCGAACGGGAGACAGTGGAACGGGAGACAGTGGAATGGGAACTGGAAGCAGTGGAATGGGAACTGGATCTGGAAGTATTCGAGTTGAAGACAGGAAACATGGTGATTAGAGTCCTAAACCTGTGCATTTGCTATACCACAATCACTAACTTTGCAGAGATTTGTTATTAATCCCCTCCTTGCAGTTTTGACTAGGCCTAGATAAATTTTGCTAGCATAATTTATAGCAAAATACGTAGCTTGAAGGCATTGGGCATTATTCGAGAAAAATAGGTGAGCATCTGGCATTGACTTGGTGGAAAGATCATAAGAATGAACTTCCACAGTGGGCACCTGCATGTAAATGTGTGCTACTGTTGCAGCTGTCCTCTGCGGCAGCGGAGCGTGTGTTTTCTATTCTCTGTAACTCAACTTTCTGTCATTCTACCGATCTATCGATGTCCTTTTTAACCAAAGAAAAATAGGTAAAATTAATAGCAAAATTTATTCAGGCCTAATTTTGACACTGCGTAGTGTTTCTGTTGTTCCTTTTCTCCCTCCTCCTCCTCTTTCTTTCCCACCGATACCTGGTAAGTGACTCATCTAAAGTCTATTTGACTTCACCTGAGTCGTGTCATAACATGTCAACCAGTTGCTTACACAATTGGAATCCTCACAACGTCCGAATTTAAAATAATCAGGCAAATATTTCAGACTATGTCACATGTAGCCAAAAAGGCAGTGAATGATAAGTTTATATCTGCAGATGATCGAAAAATTTTCTATACAACACTCAGCGAAAGAACAAAAGAGACAGGTATAATTTTGACCGTCTAAAGCTCTGTATATTATACGAACCTTTTTTCTTGCAGATAACACCTACCAAGAAATGAGGTTTTAACTTTCTTGATAGTCTGTATATACTGTGTCTATTATCTATGGTGTTATATGATGATGTAAAGATGAAACTTATGGTAGCGGGTGATGACTATATAGCTGCCCTAGGAGGGATTGAATCCTCCATCCGCCACACTCTACAGTCTTCTTTAGAGAACTATAACCACTGAGCTCATACCATGAGGGAAGTGCTCAATCAAATCCACAACACACTAAGACAAAAGGTAAATCTGTGCTTTAATTAAGTATGGCCGAGTGGAAGAGGGATGGAAGGGAACTCGAGAGCAATATAAGTTTGTTTTGAAAGTGTGCTTTTTACGCATTTTAAATCAGCAATGCAGAGCTGATAGATCAACCCAACGTTCAAAAACAAGATTCACGTATACATAAAAGAATGCTTGTGTCATGTCATTGATTTGAGAGGATGATTTGTGATTCACAAACAACAGAATACACAAACACAGACACCACATTTACAACAACACATTCAGAACACCAGGACAAACATCTACATACTAAAACAGAGGAACAGTTCTCAGCAGCTGTGCCAGTGAACTCGGAGACGCAGCTTGTTTCAGGAATGGATGACGTAACAGTTTTCTTGCAGTAGATCGCTGCTCTCCGTCTCTGACTAGAGCCTTACTGAGGAAGTCCAGTAGCAGAGGAGATGCCTGAGGGAACAAGAGGAAAGAAAAGTATCAAAATACTAAGACTAGAAAGAACACAGGGCTACTTTCAGAGTACCGAGAAAGAAAACAAAAAAGAAGGAAAAGAGACAAGCAAAAGCAATAATACAATATTAGGGTGTATGCTTTATAACTACAGTTTTGTTGGCGACAAGCAGAGAATGTCTATGAATTGTCTTAAAGCTATTTTGGAACGGCTATGGGTACATACACTGTACATAATGCTAGGATTAAGACATAATGCAAGCTTACAACAAGAACATTTTACTTTCCGTTTCAGTGAGTATATACCTTCTCGGGGTGTCTGAGAGAGGGGTTGCTGTGGTCTCTGATGAACTGCATGGCCTCAGTAGGTCTGCAGTGGAAGAGTGGAGGCTCCCCATCCACCATCTCTATCACCATGATACCCAGAGACCAGATGTCCACCTAGTGAGGGAACGGGGAGGGGGTATGTATGTATAACCATGATATGCTAAAGCTATAGTCTATCCTTAGTATTATGTACTGGTGTACGCTAAAGTCTCTATGAGGCGGGTTTGGAGTGGAAAAAGCATCAAAATTGAGCCACAATTGGAAATCACCAAAATCCTAGGTCCAAACCTCCTTTTACAGTTTCCATAAAATCTTAAAAACTTTCTGTACTAACAAGCACACGCACGCACGCATGCACACACACACACACCGCCCTCACCTCAGCCCCGTAGCTCTGTCTCTTGATAATCTCGGGAGCCATCCAGTACGGAGTCCCCACCAGTGACTTCCTCCGAGGATGATCTGACGAAACTCTCGCACAGAATCCAAAGTCTGACAGCTTTACCTACACACACACACACACACACACATGGGGAGAGAGAGAGAGAGAGAGAGAGAGAGAGACAGGGAGAAAGGAGAGCAAAACTTGAGAGCTGTCCCAATAATATGTAGCAACTAGAGCAAACGAACCACATTATTGGTTGAACGAACGCAAACGCAAAATTTAACGCCATTTATTACATTGTGGTATGGTGACAAGTGCGATTTATGAATAATGCGTAATTCAGATAACTTCGTGAACACGCTGTTGAAGGTTTCTTGCTGTATTTTTTTTTATGTACCGTAATTCTTCGCTTTTTTAACTTTCTCTTACACAATTCTTCTCTCTCTCTGTATCTCCTGAACTCAGGTGGAATGAGTGGTCTTCAGAACATGATGAGACAATTCCAGCAGGGGGCCTCCAATATGCCGGGGTTCAAAGGAAAATGACTTTCATTCAATGTTTTCATGTCAATCTGCTGAGTATTTTACAGCTCCATTACCGCGCAACCGTAAATGGCCGGGGGCGTAGCTAGCGTTTTGTATTAGTATTACGTAATTGTTTCGCCGCCTCGCCCAAAAAATACTGCCACAGTTTGGCCTGCCGGGCTGCTCCTCGTTGTTACACTTTGGCCGGTTTATTCAATGGCGACAGGTATATTATACTGTCTATAACTACGGAGCATCATAGCTAACAAGCACGCTAGCGCTGTTATTTTGCCCTCCGTAACAACCGAAAAGAGCGCCGTTTGCTACTTATCACTGACCGTCTCATCTCAGCCCCTGCAGGTGACAAGATTCTAAAAGAAAGCGATCTTTGTGAGCTCGTGGAAGCGTTGCCGAGGCAAAGAATAAGGCGTCCGATTTCGGCCTAAAATTGCTCTTGCCGTCTCACGAGATCGACAGCATATGCAGTATTCATCGTGACCCACAAGAACAACTTACCAGTATCTTGAAATATTTTTTGAAGCGAGTAGAGCCAAGACCAACATGGGGAATGATTATTAATGCTCTCAAAAGTTCCATGGTAGATCTTCCACGACTGGCCAAAACAATTGAAGATCATATTCCTAATCCAACCGCCACAAGTGGTAAGAGTTAGGCTATGCCGTGCAGTATAAAACAGTATGCTCCTCCTCTTTCTTATCAGTTCCTGTTTCTACACTAATTACTACTAGTTCACAACCCACTGCAGCTTGTGATGTACTACCTGAGCCGTCAGGTGCTGTTTTATTATAAAAATAATAATAATTTAACAACCACTAAAGAGCTCGCTGGTCACCTACTCTTGTGCATGACGAAAGAATGATAAATGAAAGATGATACGGAGTGGTTCACTTGTGAGTGGGAATGACTGGGTAAAATTTGAGACATAAAGTGATAGTAAAGGAAGTGATTTTCTACCGTCGTTTCTAATTGTTACCTCTTTAATTAATATTGTGGACACACGCACACAAAAAGTGATATTCGTCTTCAATTATGTCACAGACTGTACATAGTCGATCTGTTACAGGGAGTGCTTATGGAACCTTCCTACCTCAATAATTGCCAGTGAATGTGAGCTGGTCCGTAATCTTGCCATGGCTATCCCTGTGTGCATGGGTACATATACATACTAGCAGCATCCCTTTCCTTACAGTTCATGCATCTAAACCACTGTCCGGAAACCTGGAACCAGTAGACCAATCTTGTGCTGGTAAAAGGTTAACTATCAAGAAGGTATAATTTTAGTTGCTATTTCTCTGACAGCAACAACTAAAAGTGAGCAAGCTGCAGATAGTCAGAGACAACCTGGATCACCTGAACCCAGTACGGTTTATAATGAGTGAACTGGTTCTTAAATAATGTACTAACCCTTGTATACACAGGTTCTATGACCCCTACGTATGTAAAGGCCAAGATCAAGCAGTTTGAAAAGAGGTTTAACAAGTTGAAAAGGAGCATTAGAGATAGTCTTAAACAATCAAAGATTCCCATTGAGAGAATAGCAGATGTACTGAGTGATATGCCAGCTGATGATATCCCTGATCACAAATTCTTCCAGGACGCATGTTTGCATCTTCTTTACAGAGCGGATGATCAGAACGAACTATTTGGAACCTTAAACCCCCATGTAAACTACCTCTCATACCACTTGTTGGACTATCTGGTCGATGAATTTGATTTGAAGATCAAAGATGAGATGGAGAAATACAAAGAAGATCTACAGAAGTTCAGAGAGAAAACACCACTAAAATTGTACTGTAAAACACAGAAAAAGCGCTACATCAAGCTTTCATCTGAATTCCGAGAAGTGGTTGCAGTTTTCGAGTGGCCCGATGATGTGACACTAGAAGTAGTGGAACAGTTTCGACAAGAGTACGCCTGTCACTACAGTCTGCGAGAGTGTGCCATGATGGTGGCTGAAATACGTCCCTGCTCCTTCATCGTCACCTGGTACGTCCCTGAATCAGTGGCAGAGAAATTGAAAACAAGAATCCCCAAAGAGATTCTCCAAAAGTGTTCTGCTACCAAACTGGTGGTTGATGGCTCCTGTGTTTATGAGGTAGCTTAAACCTGATGTGTAATGGGTATAATTCTTTCATCTTGATTTGCAGGAAGACGAATATTATTCTCAAGAACCTGAGGTATATCATGTTGGTAGTGCAGAAGACGATGAAGTTGAAGACGATGCTACACACAGAAGGAGACAGGGTGTAAGTCTTTCTTATAGCCTGGTTCCAGGTGTTTCCTTTGATCCTTTGAAGTGTATCCACCCCAGACAAGCCACAGTGCATGTATTTGCCACAACCCATGGCATTGTTCAGCACAGCTGCTGTCTGAATGAAAAGCACGGTACCGCTAATTGATGGGCTGGGCTATTAACTCGTGGTCTCCATGCACGCGAGTAGCTTGCAGAGAGTCTGACAGGCTATAGCTACAGTAGTAGATAGCATGCGGTAGTTGATACACGCCCTTCGTGTGACTACACAGAGCAAGCGACCCGATCGAGGTAAGTTTGTGCTAATTAGCATATTGGCTTGCTCGCTTGGTTTTCACACCATAACTTTAGAACACAGTGTTTTTATGATTTAATCAAGCCAGTGTAGCAGGCTGGCTATAAACCACTCAAAACACCATTATCGTGATCTGGCGGTGTCATGCACGTGCGCGTAAGTGGGGTGTCTTAACTAATACTAATATGTATGTATCACTAAGTACGGTAGTACTTAATGGGATGACACAGCTAGGTTGTCCTGCATTATGCCCAGGCACACATTTGAGATTTGTACGTTTCACTCGGCCGGTTCTTCGCACTCGCTCCCCGCACGATGTTGTGGGCCGGGCCGACGAACCGGGTGTCGCAGTTTCAATCAGATCCAACTTTTGACTGATCTGTATTGTCACAAAGAGCATGTATCCAAGAAATGGCTTTAATCGCATAATCGGTACTTGATTTATTTTAAAAGTCAGTTTTCAAAATTCTTGTTGTTGTTGTTGTTCAAATTCAACAAGCGTATCTCAAAAACCAGGTAAGATATGGAGATGAAACTTTGCACAAAGATTGGAATCCATGACAGGTCGTGCAAGAGCATTTAAATTTGTTTGTAAACAATGTTGTTTACATGCAAACAACAAAAAACAAAAAAAATAGCCCCAGGCCATACATTATGATATAGACCAATAAAGTGTGCTAACTAGGTAGAGCAAATACCCAGAATGATAAAATTTGGTACACACATGCAACCCATCATTAGTATCAAAATGAACAATCATAGCTGTGCATCATACAAGGGAGCACACTCGTACTTCGCGACAATAGAGGGCTTGTGTGGAGGAAATTTTACAGGAGCAAGCGATGTCAGTTCAAAGTATGTAGCCATCATCCATTTTACTACTGCATCATGTTCACTAGGTCATCCCTGTCTTGTCTCCTTATACCTATATTCCAAACTTTTTTAATTGGAAGAAATTTTTTTATTGACTTGTATACTTCTTGTGGGCTGTGCCATTTGCTTAGCCACACGGTGTTTGGTTCTTTTAACGCTCGGCACAGATGGGCACGGATGTGCAGTGAGAGTTATAGCAATTGTGTGCACTAAAGCAACCATGATGAGTAATACTAATGACATCATAGTACTACAATACGATTGCGTGAAACACAATGAAAACTTGCCAGTAATGCACCGTGGGACCATGATGTTACCCAAAGCCATCCAGTCCATAAAGCTACTCACTACGCTACTCCTGCCCGTGTTAGAGCGAAAAACTGATGCCAACAACTGCCTTTTGTGCACGGGTTAGTGTGTACCATACACTATTCTCTTGTACCAAGAATGTGCACTAAGTGCTTTTACCTCACCCAGGTTGACTCTGGCTTCACGGTAACCCCACAACAATCATCAGGTCCACTAATGGAGAAATTACCAGTTACAGTAATGGCGACAGGCACTTGTAAGTTAAAGTACAGCCACATGTAGGTGTACACAAGTGGAATCGCATGTCTTCCCTGCAGCAGTGGAAACTGTGGCCGCTCAAACCCACAGCAAATCCACTAAGACAAGCACAATCATTCTGAGGTGCAGTGACCTACTTTATGACATTGACCAGAGACTAAAGGACAAGGCATATTGCAGCGATCATGGTTTCCAAATTGTATTAAGATAAATATTCTATCCTAATTGTGAGGGCACTGCCTGCGCACTTGATGTGAAAGTGGGCACTCTTTTGGAGAGGATGTTCGTCCCTACCTTAGACATCACTGTGTCGGTGGTTGAGTTGAATGACGGTAAACTTAGCAGAGACTTTTCACTTGAAAAGGAGATGAAGAATCTATTGGTGGTCAGGAAAGAGACCTTGTCTGAGGAACAGCTAACTGCATCGTTTCCTAACCTGGTGGACCATAAGCAGCTACGCCAAGTATCATCTGAGTTTATAGGCATACAGGCATGCGCAGTATTTTTGGCGAGCGGGAGCGAGCTAACCTAGTGGTCCAAACGGCGCGATTTTCTATAATTATAATTATATTTATATACTGACCCACCGCGTACGTCGTGTAAGTGCGCATGCGTCAACATTACGCGCTTCTTTTTATGCGAAATAATGTTAGACATTTTTCTAACAGCTATAGAGCCATTGCTGTAGTGCGTTTGGCTGTGTGAGTTCTACTTGGTATGAGTAAATTAAAAATCCTGCGAATTTAAAAAAAGAGGCATATAGGGATGGTATAAAAAGAAAGGGAGACAAGATAGGGATGGGATACATGAAGCGTGGTTAATGAACAGATTTGAGTATGCTGACACCCCCAACCCCATCACACAATCCCTATATTGTTGCCTGGTGTGCTACTCTTATAGGGGCTAAAGGTTACTAAAAGCAAGCATTCTTTCACCGTGTCCCTGTTGTTTTTAGTAACATATAATTATACTGCCACATTCCCTTTAAACTCCACTTGGACTCTATAAGGGGGTTGGTTACTCAGTGTATTGTAAGTTCTGATGGTGAGTGTTTACCTAGGCAACAATATAGGGGTTGTGTGATGGTTGGGGGTGTACTTTTGTATGTGTTATCAGTCCACAATCTCAACCTTTCTGCCAACGAATTCATTCAGTATTCAAAATTCACAAACAAAAAGACCACATACAAGAATACTTGTGTCATGTCATTGATTTGAGAGGATGATTTGTGATTCACAAACAACAGAATACACAAACACAGACACCACATTTACAACAACACATTCAGAACTCGAGGACAAACATCTATAATACTAAAACAGAGGAACAGTTCTCAACAGCTGTGCCAGTGAACTCGAAGACGCAGCTTGTTTCAGGAATGGATGTCGTAACAGTTTTCTTGCAGTAGATCTCTGCTCTCCGTCTCTGACTAGAGCCTTACTGAGGAAGTCCAGTAGCAGAGGAGATGCCTGAGGGAGGAAGGGGAAAGAAAAGTATCAAAATACTAAGACTAGAAAGAACACTTTCAGAGTACCGAGAAAGAAAACAAAAAAAGATGGGAAAGAGACAAGCAAAAAGCAATAATACAATATTAGGGTGCGTGCTTTATAACTATAGTTGTGTTGGCGACAAGCAGAGAATGTCTATGAATTGTCTTAAAGGTATTTTGGAACGGCTATGGGTACATACACTGTACCTAATGCTTGGATTAAGACATAATGCAAGCTTACAACTAGAACATTTTACTTTCAGTTTTAGTTAGTACCTTCTCGGGGTGTCTGAGAGTGGGGTTGCTGTGGTCTCTGATGAACTGCATGGCCTCAGTAGGTCTGCAGTGGAACAGTGGCGGCTCCCCATCCACCATCTCTATCACCATGATCCCCAGAGACCAGATGTCCACCTAGTGAGGGAACGGGGAGGGGGTATGTATGTATTACCATGATAATATGCTAAAGCTATAGTCTAGCCTTAGTATTATGTACTAGTGCACGCTAAAGTCTCTATGAGGCGGGTTTTGAGTGGAAAAAAACATCAAAATTTAGCCACGATTGGAAATCACACCAAAATCCTAGTTCCAAAACCTACTTTTACAGTTTCCACAAAACCGTAAAAACTTTCCGTGCTAACAAGCACACACACACACACACCGCCCTCACCTCAGCCCCGTAGCTCTGTCTCTTGATAACCTCAGGAGCCATCCAGTACGGAGTCCCCACCAGTGACTTCCTCCGAGGATGATCTGACGAAGCTCTCGCACAGAACCCGAAGTCTGACAGCTTTACCTACACACACACACACACACACACACACACACGGAGAGAGAGAGAGAGAGAGACAGACAGAGAGAGAAGAGAGCAAAACTTGAGAGCTGTCCCAATAATATTTAGCAACTAGAGCAAACGAACCACATTATTGGTTGAACGAAGGCAAACGCAAAATTTATTACATTGTGGTATGGACTATGGTGACAAGTGCGATTTATGAATAATGCGTAATTCAGATGACTTCGTGGACACGCTGTTGAAGGTTTCTTGCTGTATTTTTTTTATGTACAGTAATTCTTCGCTTTTTTTACTTTCTCTTACACAATTCTTCTCTCTCTCTGTATCTCCTGAACTCAGGTGGAATGAGTGGTCTTCAGAACATGATGAGACAATTCCAGCAGGGGGCCTCCAATATGCCGGGGTTCAAGGGAAAATGACTTTCATTCAATTTTTTCATGTCAATCTGCTGAGTATTTTACAGCTCGATTACCGCGCAACCGTAAATGGCCGGGGGCGTAGCTCGCGTTTTGTATTAGTATTACGTCATTGTTTCGCCCAAAAAACACTGCCACAGTTTGGCCTGCCGGGCTGCTCCTCGTTGTTACACTTCGGCCGGTTTATTCAATGGCGACAGGTATATTATACTGTCTATAACTACGGAGCATCATAGCTAAAAGCCACGCTAGCGCTGTTATTTTGCCGTAACAACCGAAAAGAGCGCCGTTTGCTACTTATCACTGACCGTCTAATCTCAGCCCCTGCAGGTGACAAGATTCTAAAAGAAAGCGATCTTTGTGAGCTCGTGGAAGCGTTGCTCGAGGCAAAGAATAAGGCGTCCGATTTCGGCCTAAAATTGCACTTGCCGTCTCACGAGATCGACAGCATATGCAGTATTCATCGTGACCCACAAGAACAACTTACCAGTATCTTGAAATATTTTTTGAAGCGAGTAGAGCCAAGACCAACATGGGAATGATTATTCATGCTCTCAAAGTTCCATGGTAGAATCTTCCACGAACTGGCGAAAACAATTTGAAGCAGCGATCATTATCCTAATCCAACAGTTCGCCACAACGTGGTACAGCACGTTAGGCTATGCATGCAGTATATAAAAACAGTATGCTACTCTCTACTTTCTATCAGTTCCTGTTCGACACGATTACTACACACTGTACTAGTTCACAACCCACTGCAGCTTGTGATGTACTACCTGAGCCGTCAGGTGCTGTTTTATTATTGCCGAGCCGTTAAACTACTCTTCTCGCGAAATGCGTATAATATACGTACGTGTCCGTCACGCTTAAGAATGTCAATTAGTCACGCTTAGGGAATGTCAATTAGTCACCAAAAGGAAGTGTAACTTCCGTCATTCGTAGGATAGGAGGTCTAGCTTCCGCCGTGCGCGCAGATCGTATATGGCTTCGCGCGCAGTCAGTAGAGCGCACGCACGAGCGGCCTCAGTCGGACTGTTGGCTGGCAGGCGCGAGGCAAAATATGCGCGTGCGCATTCCTAGTAAAAATAATAATAATTTTTAACAACCACTAAAGAGCTCTACTCTTGTGCATGACGAAAGAATGATAAATGAAAGATGATACGGAGTGGTTCACTTGTGAGTGGGAATGGCTGAGTAAAATAAAGTTCCTGAGACATAAAGTGATAGTAAGGGAAGAGATTTTCTACCGTCGTTTCCAATTGTTACCTCTTTAATAAATATTGGGGACACACACACACAAAAAAGTGATATTCGTCTTCAATTATGTCACAGACTGTACATAGTCGATCTGTTTCTAGGAGTGGCCTGGGTTTATGGAACCTTCCTACCTCAATTGCCAGTGAATTTGAGCTGGTCCGTAATCTTGCCATGGCTATCCCTGTGTGCATGGGTACATCCATACTAGATAGCAGCATCCCTTTCCTTACAGTTCATGCATCTAAACCACTGTCCGGAAACCTGGAACCAGTAGACCAATCTTGTGCTGGTAAAAGGTTAACTATCAAGGAGGTATAATTTTAGTTGCTATTTCTCTGACAGCAGCAACTACAAGTGAGCAAGCTGCAGATAGTCAGAGACAACCTGGATCACCTGAACCTAGTACGGTTTATAATGAGTGAACTGGTTCTTAAATAATGTACTAAGATTTTCCCCTTGTATACACAGGTTCTATGACCCCTACGTAGGTAACAGGCCAAGATCAAGCAGTTGAAAGAGGTTTAACAAGTTGAAAAGGAGCATTAGAGATAGTCTTAAACATCAAAAGATTCCCATTGAGAGAATAGCAGATGTACTGAGTGATATGCACAGCTGATGATATCCCTGATCACAAATTCTGTCCAGGACGATGTTTGCATCTTCTTTACAGACGCGGGATGATCAGAACGAACTATTGGACCTTAAACCCCATGTAACTAACTCTCATACCACTTGTTGGACTATTGGGCGATGAATTTCATTGAGGATCACAGAGACGAGATGGAGAAATACAAAGAAGATCTACAGAAGTTCAGAGAGAAAACACCACTAACATTGTACTGTAAAACACAGAAAAAGCGCTACATCAAGCTTTCATCAGAATTCCGAGAAGTGGTTGCAGTTTTCGAGTGGCCCAATGACGTGACACTAGAAGTAGTGGAACAGTTTCGACAAGAGTACGCCTGTCACTACAAGCTGCGAGAGTGTGCCATGATGGTGGCTGAAATACGTCCCTGCTCCTTCATCGTCACCTGGTATGTCCCTGAATCAGTGGCAGAGAAATTGAAGACTAATGTGCCTGAAAACATTCTGTGGAGATATTCTGCTACTCAACTGGATATCGATGGTTGTTGTGTTTTTCACATACACAAGCCTAAGGTTTGATAATACATAGTTCATATATTATATTGCATAAGGGATAATCTCTCAAGGGAGAGAATATCACATAGAAATCTTTTGTAGATAATTTAATTGTTTGTCCCGCTGCTATACAAAACCATAACCATACCAACTGCATCAAGCCAAGGTGCAAGTCCTATCGATCTGCAAATGGTTGCCGCTCTTATGCAGGATGAAGAAGAGATTATCCCTTATGCCTCCTCTCGCTACACTGTTGAGCAACTGACGGATCTATTCAGAAGTAATGTTCTAGTCCATGGTTAGTATAATGTATATGAGAATTTACCTTCATAAACAAATTTACTTCTTCACTTTCTTTCCAGGCAGACAACCCAGGCGCAGCAGATCCCTCAATGATCTCCATGTTATCCCTCACTCTCAACATCCCAATGGTGCATTCAGTCACCCTGATACAGACATACGTGAAATGAGCAGGAGCAGCATTGACACTGGCTACAGCAGCACCACAAACTCACCTTACCATGCCTTGAGCGTCATAAATGGATCTTCCCGTGCCTCTAGCTTCCTAAGTGGATCCTCCCGTGCCTCTAGCTTCCTAAGTGGATCCTCCCGTGCCTCTAGCCTCCTAAGTGGATCCTCCCGTGCATCTAGCTTCCTAAGTGGATCAGAATATGGTGAGTATAAGATATTTCCCTTTATCAATAAGTTTGCTTCTTCCAGGCAGACAACCCCGTCTGTCTGTCTGTTACCACGTTTTCTCCCGCTACGCGCAACAAGACGGCCAAAAAGCGACACCAACGGGTTCAGTGCCACACGTCAGCATGGCCCAGCTAATCAATTAGCTGTAGCACACATGTATTTGAGTGTTTCAATGCTCCTTTTAGTGCACCCAGGGTTTGTACTTACTGCTTTTATTTGCTTATGTCCCTTTACTTGCATGTAAGGGCTCTTAATGATTGCTTTTGTTATGTTCGTCCTATATACTATATGTTCTTGCTGCTCATGCATGAGTGCTGAGATTAGTTGTTTATTGACTCCGCCCACCTAGTTGTTCCTGCCTTTCCAGGTATACGTAGGCTCTCCAGATATTTCTCCATGGCATCTGAGGAGGCATACCCATCATCCAACAAATATACAAACATTCATTCTAGAACACTTAAAAACCAGTGCTTATCATAATTATTTCTGCAGGAATCGGTGAACCGTATGATGTGGCAGTGGAGACAGCAAGTAAAACTAAACCAATCCCTCTAGTAGCAAAAAAGGAGAGGCCACACCATGATTTTCGAAAAAAGCTTCTTCGTGGGATGTCTCGTGTTAGCTCATCAACTTTTTTCACATGGAAAGTCCTGCGAGTGGACCTTTTAAAGCAAATCTGGAGACACCAATCCCAGGCCAACATCACCCATCCTTTAAAACTTGAACTCTATGCAAATCAAGGAAAGCACAATCCTAAGCTAACATTCCAGATCTATCCATATGGTCTTCACGGAGATGAGGGAAATGCAGTCACATTGGCTGTACGAATCGCGACCCCCGACAAATGTCATCCATTACCTCTCTCTTCAGAGATACAACTGATGTTGTTGGTTTTGGATGAGGAAGGAGTCGAGGTTAACAGATGTCCAACTGTCACCGAGAAATTGAGCAACATCAGTATATTCTACATACCCGCAGTCATCACACACACCCAGCTAACGGAGTCAAAGTATTTTAATCTGGAGGTTAATGTGATGTGCAGTGGCATAGTTCAGTAAAGTATTTTTGATTTTTATAGGTCGGAAAAAATGTTTTAAAAACCACGTTTAATAAGTTCAAAATCAACTCGCATTCAAAAATAACATTCAGTATACATACATACAAGATACTTGTGTCATGTCATTGATTTGAGAGGATGATTTGTGATTCACAAACAACAGAATACACAAACACAGACGCCACATTTACAACAACACATTCAGAACTCCAGGACAAACATCTATATACTAAAACAGAGGAACAGTTCTCAGCAGCTGTGCCAGTGAACTCGGAGACGCAGCTTGTTTCAGGAACGGATGACGTAACAGTTTTCTTGCAGTTGATCTCTGCTCTCCGTCTCTGACTAGAGCCTTACTGAGGAAGTCCAGTAGCAGAGGAGATGCCTGAGGGAGGAACGGGAAAGAAAAGTATCAAATAATAAGACTAGAAAGAACACAGGGCTACTGCTACTTTCAGAGTGCCGAGAAAGAAAACAAAAAAAGAAGGAAAAGAGACAAGCAAAAAGCAAAAAAAGGGTGCGTGCTTTATAACTATAGTTTTGTTGGTAACAAGCAGAGAATGTCTATGAATTGTCTTAAGGTTTTTGGAACGGCTATGGGTACATACACTGTACCTAATGCTAGGATTAAGACATAATGCAAGCTTACAACAAGAACATTTTACTTTCCGTTTCAGTGTTAGTATATACCTTCTCAGGGTGTCTGAGAGAGGGGTTGCTGTGGTCTCTGATGAACTGCATGGCCTCAGTAGGTCTGCAGTGGAACAGTGGAGGCTCCCCATCCACCATCTCTATCACCATGATACCCAGAGACCAGATGTCCACCTAGTGAGGGAACGGAGGGGGTATGTATGTATTACCATTATACTAAAGCTATAGTCTATCCTTAGTATGGTTCTTTTAATAGTGTACACTAAAGTCTCTATGAGGCGGGTTTTGAGTGGAAAAAGCATCAAAATTGAGCCACGATTGGAAATCACACAAAAATCCTAGTTCCAAAACCTCCTTTTACTGTTTCCATAAAACCTTTAAAACTTTCCGTACTAACAAACACAACCACCGCCCTCACCTCAGCCCCGTAGCTCTGTCTCTTGATAACCTCAGGAGCCATCCAGTACGGAGTCCCCACCAGAGACTTCCTCCGAGGATGATCTGATGAAACTCTCGCACAGAATCCAAAGTCTGACAGCTTTACCTACACACACACACACGGAGAGAGAGAGAGAGAGAGAGAGAGAGAGAGAGAGAGAGCAAAACTTGAGAGCTGTCCCAATAATATGTAGCAACTAGAGCAAACGAACCACATTATTGGTTGAACGAACGCAAATGCAAAATTTAACATTTAACGCCATTTATTACATTGTGGTATGGTGACAAGCGCCATCTATGAATATAAAGCGTAGTTCAGATGACTTCGTGGGCACGCTCGCCAATGATGGACATGTTTTCCAATTGGACTCACTTTTCCATCTCGAGAGAGTAGAATGCTGTCGCTCTTTATGTCTCTGTGAATGACGCCCTTCGAATGGAGGTAATCGAGAGCCTTGAGACAACTGCGAAGAACAGCTGCAATCTGGGGCTCTGAGAGGCTGAGTGGGGCGAGGAGGGAGAGAGAGAGGAAGGGAGGAGGAGGGAGAGAGGGAGAGGAGAAACAGAGATGGAAAGGAAGAGAGAAAGGGAGGAAGTAGAGAGAGAGAGAAGAAAAGAGAGGAGGAGAGAGTGAAGTAACAAAAGGAAGTAATAAGGGAAAGGGTAAGTGGTGGACTATATAAGTGGTGCAAAGGGGGCACAGGACAAGTCAAAACAAGGAAATTGAGTGCCAGCTAAGCACACTTCTACCAGCGTCATAAGGCATCACATGTACTACAAACCTAGCACTCAAAACAAGACAAACACCTAATAAGACCCACAACACTACACTACGAGTTGTATACAGCGGAAATCGTCTCAAATACATGAGGAGACTTCTCTGATATCAACACATTCTCTTTTCCAATGTACATCTGAATTAAGGACACCTTGCTAATATGGACACTTCCTTCTGCCCCAAAGGTGTCCAGATTAAGGATTCAACTGGTAAATCCGGTTCCGTAAACCTGTTTACCTGGTTCTCTGTACGATGTTAGTGAGAGCTCTGCCGTCCATGAACTCCATGACGACCCAGAGTTCATCCTGAACCAAATAGCTGTCGTGAAAACCAACAATGTTGTCATGGGGATGGTCCCGCATTAGCATAACCTGCAACAGGAGGGAAGGGGTTAAGTTAAACACAGTTATCATAACATAGGAACATAACACAAAACGCAAGGGGTTAAAAGTGGAAGGGGTTAAATGTCACAAACAATTATCATAAAACAGAAACGGAGTTTCAAGAAGGTGGAAGGGGTTAAATAGCAAGATGGTGAAAGGGGGTTAAATATCAAGGGGGTGGGAGGGAGTTAAACATCAAGGGGATTGAACATGAAGTGTAAGAAATACCATGTAAGAAAAGAGTTACACCACAAGGGGTTAAATATCAAAGTGATTAAATATTACAGGGTGGGAGGGGATTACATGAAGTGGAACCAAGGGTATAGATATCTGAATGGTTAAATACCAAGGGTTGAAAGTGGTTAAAGGGATTGAATATCGAGTGGGGGAGGAAAGGGTTAACCAAGGGGAATTCTGAAGTGGGAGGGAAAGGGTTAAGTATCAAGGAAACCAAAAGTCCATTGGCAGTGCTGTGTCAACAGGTAACAAGAGAAACAGCTGTTGAAACACGCACTTGCAAGTCTGTTGCTGTCAACAAAACAACACGCAACTTCAGTGTCGGTTCTGCTCCTCAATGGGACAGTGCATATCATTCATGTGGCTCTCAGTGACGGGTCTAGAGAAAGAGGTGTCATGTGTTCGAGTCCCACGCAGGGCATCGAGAGGAGTGCCCTGAGCATAGGTTTACTTGTTCACTTAAAACTTGGCTTTTGTACTCAAATATCAATCTGAGGCCTTCCGGAGAAGAAACGAGTTGCTTTTGCCACACAAAATTGGCTTTGATACGCAACCTACAACCTCGAGCGAACCTTGAACAAAAACATTGCAGTATTGACGTGACAAGATGATCGGCGAAATCGACAATGAATACTCAGCCTATTATACAAGTTAGCATATTGCACGGCTGTTAGTAAAACCTGCGATATTCACTACCGCTGTAATTGAATGCCATGGTGATAATTGTATTCATTGCCGTCCCAATACAGGGGAGGACAGGCCGGCGTAGGAGGTAATAAACCGCGTATCAACCCCTCGTGAATATCGTTACACGCACACCCTCCAGCTAACGATATCGGGGTCTGTGGGGGGTTTGGGTTACTTGTTACTACTAGCGACAGTCACCACAAACTTAACGATCCTGAGGCAGCCCTAGGTCCAAATTGATTGGTCGATTGAGTGGCCAGAATAAGGCTTGTAGTGTAGGAGGGTATTAGGTTACTTTTCTACTAGAGACGGTTGCCACAAGCAAGGCGAAGCAACCTTTCAGGAGCACAAGAAAAGTCCAAATTGATCTCTTTTTGATGGAGCAACCAAGAAAGCACGACTTGAGGCGAGCTTTGCCATAGCGAAATTTGCCACAAGTGGCGCTAAGCAACCAATGGCCTCAAGCAACCTTTCAGGTGGCAAGAAAAGTAATGAGCAACCGAGCTTTAGGGGGGGCTTTGGTTTCTTGTTTACTAGCGAAACAATTTGTGCTAAGCAACCAGTCGAGCAGACTTTGGAAAAAAGGTCGCAAGAAAGTCTGAATGAACTTCTCTACTTGATAGTGGCAAACCAGACCTTCTTCTAGGGAGCTTAGGTTACTTGGCTATTCGCAACAGGCAAGGCTGAGCAAAAATAACTGCCTGAAGCAACCCTGTGCACAAGAAAAGTGGAAAGGTAATGGAGAAACAGAGGAAGCTGGCTTTTGGAGGGATCAGGTTACCCGTCTACTAGTGCCACCAGCAAGCGCTAAGCAATCAACGGCCTCTGGCAACCGTTCAAGGGAGGCAAGAAAACTCCAACCCGACATCTGTTTGCTCTTTGTAGTGGCTCTCTGAAACCCACCCGCCCAGCGTACTCCCAACTCCCTAGCGTATAACATAGTACAGTGCTGCTGTAGTGCTACAGGAAGACCAGACTGAAACAGCAAGTTGTATACTATGACATCGTGTTTTGGCTCGGTTCAGAGTTCGCTGCAACTTCCTCAATAGAGGTTTGAAAGTCACGCACTCTCGCTCTCTCCCTCCTTCCTCTCCCCTAATTCGGTACTATATACTACAACCGAGCGTGACAGAAGACAATAACACCACTTCCGTCGCTATATATAGAGCCTCCTTTTAGTACGGGTTCCTAAATATAGCAGCCATGTCTAATTTGGGGAGTTAGCTTCCGCCCACAGCAAAAACACCAACCCACTCAGACTTTCCTCTTTCCTAACTTAGTAGTTGTGACAACGCTCCCCTTAGTAAGGGTTCCATGCCCAGGCTAGCCACGATGTCACAGTAACGATATATCCTTTTCTAGCCAGCAGCCAAACACACTCTCCTTCCTCGAAACTCCAATGTTGACAATAGCAGCACGGCCTTAAAGGGTATGTATAAACAGTGGGTATATAGCTCCTTCCTTTCTTAGCTTTCACTCCCACAGCAATGCACACACTTGCACACAAAACTCACCCCCACCACCACCACCAGCACCAGCACCTGCACTAGTCAAGCCTGCAGACCCTCTTTTTTCCAGCCCCAAAATGCAAGAGTGCAATTGGCAGCAAACCTATGGAGCTGGCTCTGCACATGTGCATGTGTCAACAACTTGGTAACGAGGTAGAAAGGCAAGGCAAGGCAAGGCAAACAAGTCAACTACACCCAGGACAGCTCTGTGCATGCGTGTGTCAACAACAAGGTAGGTATAGAAAGACAAAGGCAAACTCTCACAACATGTGACAATAGCAAGATGATTAGGTGTTATACCTCATGACAACCTTACTTGGGTATATGTATACTTTCTCAACTTAGTAGCTCCCTCCCACACGGAGACACCCACACAAATGCAGTGAGCTCATAATGTTGATACGGCTCTACTGTTTGTGTACGTACGTGTCCGTTGTGTGCACCACCCAATACAGGCAGTTCCCAATACAGGCAGTTCACTGGTCAGCTCGTCCTTAGCTGGTATATACATACAAACTGTCTACAAACGGAGAACATACAAATTGTACTACAGCCATGTTATGAAAACAGAATATTGTTCAGATTTCAGGTGGAGGCAGGGTATGCATCTTTACTAATGGCTGGCATACTTTATGTTACCTCCCTTCCTCTCTCTTCTTTCCTTCCTCCCTCTCCCTCTCCTCACCTCTCTCTCTCTCTCTCTCTCTTACCCACATCTCCCATAATGGCTGGCAGACTTGTTTACCCTCCCATCCTCTCTCTTCTTCCTTCCTCCCTCTCCCTGTCCTCACCTCCTCTCTCTCTCTCTCTCTCTTACCCAGAATTCCAACATCTCCCATAATTCGATTTCCCGCTACGTCCAATACGCCACACTCCTTACAACATGTACTGCGCTGTATAAATTATACAGCACTCTAATGCCCTAATGGGCACGTACACTTTATCAATTACGTATCCACTTGTGACAATTACTGCAGAAATGGGTTTCGTATTCTCGGGATATTAGCCAGTAATTGTTTATCGCGGGCTCTTAAGTGGTTAAGCATCTTCTTTGGCTGGTGACAGAGATCAAAGGCTCCGCAACGAAAAAAACAGAAGCAACTTTCAATCTTCTGACAAAAGAGAACATTGTTTTTTCTCTCAGGCATTATCACACACTTAGCTGATAGGTCCAAAATGCGACGCTACTAATTTGAAACAAGATTGAGTGTAGTGCAGTATCTACTGCCACGCCCGTTCCACTTACAATTTCTGCAGGTGTGATCGCGAAGGCTAGACAGACTTACCTCCAATCTCCCTGTGGTACTGCATGTGCATGGCTCTTGGTAGGTGTATATATCTACAAGTGCGTGTGTGCTTGCAAGCACCGAAGCACAAGAAATTTCGGACTGACAAGATTTGATTATCGAACAGTGGCCCAATCCTAAAAGTGCACACCAGTTGCATCCCTGACTGCCTGAATTGTGCAACTGTACATCATGTGTCTTCCTGTGCATATCCGAGTGTTCCGTGGGTTTGAATTTCTTGGGTTTTGTTGATTTGCACTTGGCTTGCTTTCATATGGTATATATACATCTCAATGACTATACTGCTGAAGATATATGTCAACCTTTGAAATTTAGAGCCTTGCTTTCTACAGTAAATCACATGCAACTGCACCCAATAAAGTCAGAAGAAGGGATTTTTTTGCATCGTTAAGTCCGTACGTTGCAACCCAATAGGCTTGGTAATGAGATTAGGGAGATTGGGTCACCAAGAGTAATGGTCTTAGACGAAATATGCCACGGGCTCTTTAACACCTGTCATAGGGCGAGGAGGTTGGGTGGAGGTGTGCACACCGTTCGAGGAACGACTGACGGTCTCAGCTGCTGATCTGGTGCCTCTTTCTCTGCCCGGAACGAGGAAAGTAAAGGTAATGATGGTTCCGGGAGTAATGGTGCCCAAGGTAAAACTCTTTCTCAAGTTCGATAGTACACTTAGGAAAAGCAATCGACCAACTATTTTCCACAAGACACACGTTTGAGATATCAATCTTCCTTTAAAATGTTTCGTTTCCTTATACCACCTTGAAACTCTTTACATTTCCTTCCTCTCCTCCTCTCTCCCTCCTCTTCCCGCCATCTACACACAGAGCCATACAAACTGCAGCAGTGAATCTCACTATAGACTTGAATCTTCAACACTGAGCTTCTAATAGACGATTTGCACACACTATAGCCAAAATGCCGCCTACATGTACATGCACATCCACATACCCCCTATATCCTTACTACTGACAGTGAAAACTGAAGTCATTAAAATGAGGACCCTTTCATAAGCAGTTTGGCGATGGTAGGCACTAAATAGAGTTTATACGTCGGCAGATTCAAATTGACCAATCAGATTGCGAAAAACGTTCGTCTACTAGTACGTGCTATGTGCTACACGGCACGCCTGTCTAATACTATATCCGAGCTCGCACATGAAACCCTGGACACCAGACACGTACACATACGACACAGGCTGTTTCTGTCGGCTAACGGCACAAGTCAATCCCTACTTCCAGAGAGTTCTTGTGACCTCACTACAGTGAGCTAGTACACACACACCCTACCACACTTGGATATTTACAGTCTCCACCCTCTGGTGTTTGTGTACATGTGTACTTCATTTACAGTCTCCACCCTCTGGTGTTTGTGTACATGTGTACTTCATATACACTGTTTGTGTGTGATTTTCAATGTGTACTGGGGGAAGGTGTGTGGTCGTTAGTGCATACCTCTATGCAAAATTATATATGTTCTACTTTTACAGTGCTTATAATGGTAGATTCTGATTAGCAATGAACTTGCACGAAGTACAGTCGTCCACCACACACACGCATTGCACTTTGGTTCAAAGTGAACTTAATAGCTGCATGTAGCGCTAATAAGCAGCTCTATAAGCTGTATGTTGCACTAGTACACAGCTCTATAAGCTGTTGCACTAGTACACAGCGTCATAAGCTGTATGTATGTTGCACTCTGTTAGGGAAGTGTTTTGGCGAAAATTGAGGTAACTTGACACATTAGCTTCCGTTCAAAGCGCACTTATTAGACACTTGTATAACACGTGAGCAAAACAAGCCAACCATGAGTTGCCTTAAATCACACAATATTGTGTATGAACGGTTTAAAAGGCTCTGTCCAAGCCATACTTCGATGTAACTTCGTTGCATGACACAACAAAAGTGCATGCAACTTCAGGTCCATCTAATATGTTGCATTCAATAGAAATGCATTGTGCGACATGTTTAAACGTTCAATATAAATATTGTGGCATGGTTTATAATTGTGAAGATGTAACTTTGCCCAGTCGCATCGTCTTTAATACGTCCAAATCAAAATTTCGCAACAGTGTTTACTCCCAACTGCACTGTCTGATGAGAAAATAGAATCTTTCTGTAGCTGCGGTCTCGAAACACGGACGCTCCCAAGCTCGACCCCCAGCAGTATCTCCGCTGACAGAACAACTGCACTTGCTTGTTTTACAATACAGTGCTTTAGCACGTCTCAACAACTTGGCAGCGAGGTAGAAAGGCAAGGCAAGGCAAACAAGTCAACTACAGCTCTTTCTTTTCAAAGAAAAGAAGAGTTGCCCTGGGTGGGATTCGAACCCACGACACTCTGCAGTCGAGCGCACTGGGTAATTCAGCTGCATGGCTATAGTGCTAAAATCAGGCCTCAACAGGTGCTTAAGCACCGATTAAGCAATTGCATTGCCAGCTTAATGCAAATCACGCACACACCAAATCCAACATTTAAATTGTATATAGAGTTTTCAGTGACGGTAGATTTAGGACCGTGAATAGGATCATTAGTAGCCGCAATGAATTTGCTCTTCGTTAACTAGCTGGTAATGTAATTAGATGCACGTCAAATTGTGTCTAGCTCGGGCGTGAACAGTGTTGGATGGCATGGGATGTAAGTTTAACACGGGGTCTACAACGGGTTATGATGTAAGGTTTGCAAATTGAATATACCCGTGTAATTGATTCAGATAGGACTAAATTGGTATAACGTGTAACAGTAAATTGAGGGAGGGAGGGAGGAAGGATGGGGAGAGAAGAGAAAAGAGAAGAGGGAGAAAGAGGAGAGCATACAATTATGTGCGCTCTATGTCAGCACACAATCGCACAAAAGCAATGTAGGGTGAGCACAGCTAGAGATGGCAATGTTGAACCAACACCACGGTACACAACACACTACTATATACCAGAGGCAGACCAGTATATATAGTCCCCCTGGCAAAGATTGTTTGTTAGCTGACTTTATCAGGGCCATGTGCCACTAACAATACTGTTGTGTTAGCCCCTGCACGCGTGGAGTGACCCACACACAACAGTTTTCACAAGCATTGTACTCAAGGCAACCGCCGTATATTTATACCTTTCCCACTTCAGAAAAGAAAGGGCTCCTCTTTTGAAGGGGAGTGAACTTTTGGTCTTTTTGAGGACAGTTTTAAGTGCAAAATTCTCAGTTTGCTACTAAGTAATGGAATGATTTCACCTTAAAAGGTTTACTGCAGTTCAATAGAGCTCTTCAAAACTGTGCACCGTTCAGTTATGAAGATGACAAAATCCACCGGTATAATTACGTATACAAGTTTGAGCAAAGCGCATTTTGAACCTGCAAGTCACCAGATATGCAAACTTACTTCAAGTGTTTTGCCAGGTAAAATTTGCCTATAATCGCAAGCTTAGGCAGTGTACAAGGAAAAGCAGAGATATGCATTTCACATAAAAAGTCCCCAATGCACCATGTAATTGCATCGTGTACTACATTCTGTTGTAGTCATTAACCACGGATAAAAAGAAAGAATATAAAACCCTACGACATTAGTTGTAAAAATTTTTTTTATTACCTCGTTGAAGAGTAGTTCCCTGCGTTGCTGCCTCCGAATGTTCATCTTCTTCACCGCAACTTTTCTTCCCCGTGGCGATCTCTTTAGCGAGATAGACAACACCCGTAGAGCCCTCTCCGATCTTGGCCAACTCGCAGTAATCCTTTCGTGGGTCAGTTCGATTCACGAGCAACTCGAGCGTCGTTCGGAACTGCTCGCTCGTCATGGCTGGTCGTCGGTGTTGGTGGAACTGCTGCCTTCGCATTGCTGGGGTGGAAGCTACGCTGCGTTGTAGCGACTGTTGTAGCTTGCGGTTGTGAGGACGGAGAGTACGGGGAAAGGTTGGTAGAGTGAGATTCCGAGCGAGTGGTGTTGTGAGTTTGATTTCCCCGCCGAGCACCCGCTGCGATTGTACGGGTACCGAGTCGATTCATGTGCAGCTTTCTCTCTGTAGCTTCTTGAAATGAGTGCACTATCCACAGAGTCCCCTCTAGGACGATGAGAGTACGCTCTAGGATTTGTTCCGTATTGTGCGGGAGGACTACCGGTGAAATTGGCGACGTTTGATCCCGAGTTACAGTGGGGGTACGGTCGCGACGTCGTGGCCGAGTGGGGCGTGTTTTCCGGGCTGTTGCGACAGAACTTTGCCGGGCGTTGGAGCGAACTGAAATGCGGCTGTCCGTGTCTCATTTGTGGGTGAATCCACGGAAACTCGGAGGTTTCGCGGAGCGCCGAGCAGCGATGTTGCGACTGTCCCGTGCAGGAGGACGATGGCTGTGCAGTCGTAGAAGTATTGGGTTGCGTAGCAGCAGTTGAACTAGGAGTTGCGTGGATTTGCTGAATGGAAGAGAGAGCCGATATCCGCGAGCTACACAAACTCGACAGTGTGCTCCCAAAATACCCCGAGCTCTCGCTGGGGGAGTGGATTCGAGAGCGAAACAGAGTCGTGTTGCTAGTGGATGTTGTTCCACAATCGTAGAGCCCCAGGTCCGACTGCACCACGTTCAAATCCTGCGGGGCACTCATACAGAAGGCAGAGTTGGAAGAGAGGGGAGCAACCGACGTGTTGCCAACTGTGTGGGTACTAGAACCGAATGCAGCTGGGCTGGGGCGCGGGGAACCGTTCGAAGGTGTCCTACTCGACGCTCTACCTCCGCGCAACTGCATCAGAGATCCGCTACGGCTCCGTGAACCGAAGTGTATGTCGACGTACTGCTCCTCGGGCGTGGTAGCGCTGTCCTCGAACGATGCCGGGCTTGCGCTGGACGCCGAGCGGTAGTGTGTTCGGATGTACTTTATCGTCTCTTCGAGGCAGCCGTCCGAGCCGCGGATGATGGGGACTCGTCGGCCACCGCTGCTAGCGGTCGTGGTGGTACTGGCGCTCTCTCGCGAGGTAGTTAGGACGCTGCTGACGGGACTGCTGTTCCCGCTACGGTACGACGCAGTCCGCGGCGTCGTCTCCCCTTCTTCTCCCGCTACGCTGCCTCCTCTTTCAGTCTCTTCAGCGTCGGCAGTCACCACCGCGCCGCCGCTGGCCGTAGTCATCGGCGGTTCCACGACAAAACCAACGCTCGCTCGCGTCTCCGACGGAACGACAACGTGAACGACCGTGGAGGACGAAGCACGCGACGAAGACGGCGACTTTGGGGGTTTCTCGTTGGCAGCAGTGCCTGAGCCGATTAGTCCGAGCCATTGAGGCGGTAGACCCATAAACTCCCCGCTAGCATTGTCCAACGTCGCGTGGTAGCAGTGCTGGAAACTCGTCGGCTCAGAAATCTCTCTTTTGGTCTTTTTACTCTTCCTCCTGCCGAATCGAAGTTTCCTGAACCAAGGCATCTCGTATGTCGCCGATACAGAGGTAATAAATCGCTCCTTGTCGAGTCTCCCCTTGATCGAGAGTTGATGCAACTTGTCTCGGCTGTACACAATTGAATATTGGTGGCTAGTTGATGTCCGTCCCTTGGCAGATGACCGCGCGGAGGACCACTTGGCAACTTCTGAGCTATCAGCCTCCCAATTAGGAAGGACCGACTCGCCTAGGGGGAAGAGAAGATCGTGAGAGAACCACGGGCGACGTGGCGGAAACGGTTGCTGCTGAGCTGGTAAAGAGTGATTGATGTTCTTTCAGAGATTCATAGCGCCGTTGTGACTCCGCTCAGGGAACGCTAGCCGGCACAGAGCTGCAGCGGACATGCTAAGTGCAGACTCTGCACACGACGGGTGGTTTATGAGCGATCGTCTAGACGCCCGCCCCCGCAACACGTGTACGTGACTAGCGAATACCACGCCCACTTTTCGCGTGAACTTTGACCCCTATAAAGACGCTGGGGAGAAAAACTGCGGTGTCGGGAGAGCTACGCCGTTTGTAGGGGAAAGGTAAGTCTTAGCAGTAGCAGGTGTCTGTTGAATCAACGCAAACAGCTACGCCGAATTCGCGTGTGCGTGTGTGTGTTTAGCGCTTATACCCAATTAGTGCTCACCTTACAAATTACCGTCCCCCTCAGAGGACGATATATTTCCAGTCTTTCTCTTTTGTTTAAAAAACAGGTTTTTAGACGTGAAAATATCATGAGTTACTATCACCAACCCCCGTTGCCTGGATTCCTGCCTTCTCCCCTCCCACCTCTTCCACCTCCTATTCCACCAGCATCTTACTGCTATCCCCATCCTCTTCCACCTCACCCTCCTCTTCCGCCTCCCCCTGCCCTGCCTCCTAATCCCCCTGCCCCCCAATATCAACCTCAACCTTCAAGTGAGCTGTAATAATGTTGACACATGTTTTTCAACTGTTGTTAGCCTATGTTTTAGTGTAACTTTGTGTGTTTCAGCTGATATGATTTTATGTAGTAGAAGAATGCAACACATTTTTGCTGAGAGAAGCGAACGGTTCGATTTTACGACTGTTTCACACGTTACTAGAACGACTTATGACATTACGGTATGTGTGGCAGTGCTGGCACATGTACACATTCCACATTCAGACGACTAGGAGGGATTGTTTCACTACCCAGTTTTACTTCTGTAGAATGAAATAAAATGAGCTTACTGCAATACTGCACACTCCATCATATACATTATAACATGGACACATCAATCGTGAAATTGCATATTTTTTTATTTTCAACTTCAACTTTGCTGGTTTTTTTCCCATACAGTGCCACTACCAAGATCTGCACCACCCCTTCCTCCGCCACTTCCTCCCCCTCTCCCTCCTCCCCTCCCTCCCTCACAACCCCCCACTCCTCCCCCTCCCCCCTTACCCCCCTCTCAACCCCCTCCAGTGTTCACCCCACCCCCTCAGGGGCCAGAATTTCATCAAACATTTCGCCCTCCTCATCAACCCTCATCGGCAAACCAGGTATGAAAAAATGCCAAGATAGTGAAGTGTTCCAATAAGTGCCTCCACATTTTCCAGAATGTTAATTAACCCTCGGCGCGCATGCGCAGCGAGGGTTACAGTAGTTGGGTTTGTCTGTCTGTGTGTCTGTCTGTCTGTTACTCTTCATCTCACTTCTCGAATGTTCTTTCGTCTCACAAAGGATACGACCTACTGAACGGGCAATGAAGGTCAGAAAATAAAGGCGGTTTTCTCTGAAAATGCTCCGTTGCAAAGCTAGAGCGCGAAAAAGCCAATATGCAAATACACAACGGACGGGATGGCTTACCACAGTCGGATCGATCCGCGTGCTCTGCGTACTTCGGAGGCACCAGAAGATGCAACGCAGGGCGTGTATCGCCTGTCGCAGGCTATCTAGTAGTGTAGTTTGCCCGCGTCAGACTCTGCGCGAGCTGGCAAGAGACCACGAGTAACAGCTAAAACTAAACCCAGCCCAGCAATTAGTGGTACGGCGCATGCGTTTACTTACGCGCGCACGTCACAGTGCGCCGAGGGTTTGCACTTCAGTGCTTTTCATTTGCATCTGTAATTCATACCGGGTGCAGCATAAAGTGCACGAGATTTTTTTGTGTTGCGGTAGCCGAGGTTATTGTGGTAGACACACGGGTGGCCTAGTTGACGGGACATTCGGTGCCACGCAGTTTGTCAAGCTCTCTGTAAAGTATCTGTTTGTCTTCTTGTCTGTTGTCGTCTGTTGGTCCCTTCTCGTGGTTTTTCTGGCGCCACTAAGGGCTGACAGCTGTTTCTACACATTCAGTAACTAGTATACATACATATATACATACAGGACGTTGATGTTCTGATTCTAACAATAAGGTCCTTATCTGTGTGTGTCTGAGCTTTGCCTCCTGTGCTTACTTCCTCTATAGTCTGGTGTTGTGGCTGTAGTTAGTGATCTGTGTTTCCCCAATCCCTTCCATCTGAAGTATATACATTGTTAACTCACACATGGCTTTTTACACGTGGCTTTTGTACTGTATCATCGGACCTTCATCTGGTGCACAGAGTACTTACTCTTTCACATGCCGAATAGCAAAATAAAGCACACATAATCACTACCTACACATATGTACATAATTGCACAAAATGTGTAGAATTTCTTTCTCTTGTTCTGCAGCCTGTGATTCCACCCCTGTTCCCTCGTAAGGGGGCCACAATTTCCCCAACCCCCAGACATCTCTTTCCAAGCCACCCACCTCCTAGCGAGGGGTCGCAAAATTTCCCCCTCAATGACCCCCAGCATACAATCAACCCCCTTCCCGAGAGGCCACAAAATATTGCTTGTGAGGGGCCACACTATTTTACCATCAGTGAACCTCAGCATATTATGAACCGCCATCGTGAGGGACCACAGAATATTCCTCGTGAGGGGCCACCAGTCAGTGAACCCCACAACCCCCCTCAGCCACTACATTTTCCCTTCAATGAATCCCAAACTTCATTCAACCCCCCTCATCAAAGAGAAAATTTCAACGAACCCCACCCCCTCCGTGAGGGGTCACAGAGAGAAAATTTCAAAGACCCCCAACCTGTTTTTCGTCCCCCTCGTGAGGGGCCGCAGAGGGAGAATTTTCCCACTGAAGACCCCCAATTTGAACGACGACATGACCTCCAGGCATCTACCAACCAATCAAATCGCTGGGATGGTAGGGGGGACCGTTATTTCTCCCCAAACCCCCCAGAAAACAGATATTCCTCACCGAGGGAACGTTGGCGAGGGTTTTCCCCTACACCCCAGCAGCATCGTGACGAATCGTCGTACAGAGAGGGGCCGCCCCCTGCAGGAAATTTCAAACAAGAACAGTATTTCCACGAAGTCGACCAAAGTGATGAACAACTTTGCGATGAGCCCAAAGATGATAGTCTTGAAACACACGACTGCCGTTTCCAGCCCCTCCATGAACACAATTTCAGACCCCGCTCTCCTGAATTTCGACCACGTTCCCCTGATTTTCTACAGGGTCCACCCGATTTTCAACCACGTTCCCCTGATTTTCGACCCCCTTTCCAACCTCATCCTGATTCCAACAGAAGGGCACCACGCGATATTGAATCCGAGGAGAATCAATTTTATCAACAAGAAGATAATTTTGACCACTCGAGAGAGCACGATAATCGAAGGGTTCCCCCCACGAGTTCTTTTAGTGATGATGGTCCCCTGACCCACACTTTTGAACGTGGTTCCCCCAGGTTTGATGAAGGTCCCCTGACCCACACTTTTGAACGTGGTTCCCCCAGGTTTGATGAAGGTCCCCCAAGTTTAGACTGCGATAGACCCCCAATGTTCAATAGACACCCGGATTTCACCAACGAGAGGAGACCACCTCATTTTGACGAGGGACCTGCTTTTAACCGAACCCACCAATTTGACCCCCACCACCCAGAATTCAGACCCCCTACTGACCCCTATTTCGAGGGATCAAGATTTCACAAAGGGGGCGATCATTTCAGGGGTACGCCCCCTCCTGTTTACCATAACGATGAGGTGGTGGACAATTTCCGCTGCCCCCCACAGAACCCCCAAGCTCAGTGGACGAGGGACCCAAACGAAGGGGGCATCAGGCAATCTCCCCACAACCCCCGGGGGCCAGAATTCCACCGGATGAACCCCGAACCCCTCCGCAAAGTTCCATTGTTGCCGACCCCCACCCCAATCCCATGTAAGTCAATCTTTTTCTGTTAGCTACGTATATCCCAATATGTAGTGGTTTTTTGGTGTGGTTAAATTAATATTCATGTACAAGTATTCATTAACGGATTTTCATACCCAAACCATAATTATCATGATGTAAAATATTCGTTCTCGGAATTGGACGAACAAATGAACGACCATCGCTAAAATTAAATGCTCAATATCGACCAATAAAAACGTTCCCCACACTCTCAATATCAAGAAACACGAAACGCACATGTGCAATATACAATTGTGTATGTGTATGTTGCAGTGATGGGTCCTGATTTTCCAAAGCCAGAGCTGAAGATTGTAACGGCCGACAAGATTTTCGATTCCCCTGGCCGAAGTGAAAGACCTAGCCATGTGAGTATAGGCGTGTGTGTGTGCAAGGAGCAAAATCACGTTCCATGTTTTGACATGCCAGCTACATTAACATGGGAATAGGACATGCAATTGCACATGTATGCACAGATGTGTGGGTGACTTCTATTTAAGGCACACTTTCCCGCTCCCACAGAATGTATGGACGTGAACTCTTGCACGAGGCGGTAAAAAGGTCTGAATAATCAAATCAGAAAAAAAACTGTATTTATTCTCCTTGCCCTAGCATTCCAACCATAAGTTTCATACTTACATCATTTATAATTAGGAAGTGATCCTAAAAGGCTTAAGGCACATACCTCCCTCTGATGTGGTAGCTAATAGCCGTGGTTCTTCCCTGCTGCCTGCCTTATGTACACAGCCAGTAGTTGTGGTGCCCTATCACTAATCAGAGGGCAGTAGTATCTCTGACCATCAAGGTGATCCAGTCACACTCTACTGGTTACCAGTCATGGGATATAGCCTGTGTAGTGGTAAATTGATACTCGCCAATGGCTTTACCTCACTTTCTTCACAGGCAGTTTATATACTTAATGTACCCACATTAGGTTGTTGCATACCTAGGCTAATGTCTCTACAATGCGAGAAACAGTTCATTTTGTTCATGTTTACAAATGATATCCATCATCATTTAGGGCTCCAGAACATCACAAAGTTGGAAATTTGTTTTGAAGCCTGGGTACCCTACATGTATGTATATACACTAGATGGTGACTTATGTGCTGGTATATACTGTATCAACGCTGGTAATGCATCTTAGCTGAGTGTAGTTTATCACATGGTATGGTTAACGGTGGTCTATATTATTGTGTATTTCAGACAGACTTGGTGGCCTTGCTTCCACACTGCCTACTGGTACATAGTTATTACAGGTGGAGTATATAATATATATGCAGTGCCCAGACACGAGCCCTGTAAGGGCTTATGCTGTCCTGTCTGGGTACTGCAACAGATATGTCGGTTGCCTAGGGATATCCAACAAATTGCAGTACAATTCTAGGTGGTGTGATCTAATTACTAATCCAGACTTTTGTGCGAGCCCCTAATGAAGGATAATCACCTCAAATCCCACAATAGATTACTCCAATTCCTAATCATAGTACAAATAAACTGGCAATTAACTGCAGTTATAGTGACAGGCAGGGCAGCTGTCTGCCTTTACATCGCTCTCCTGCCTTTTTGGGTGGTCTCTCCTCTCCGTGGTAACCGAGTGAGGGAGAGCGAGTATCTCGTTACAGGTGTACAACTCGCACATTCGCATGAGAAGGGGAAAGTTTTTGTTTCAAGCCGTGCGAGAAGTGAAAAAGCCCAAAACGTTAATTACCAGTTGTTGACCGGTTGAATTGCTGCCCTTAAAACCCTTTGGACACCATGGGTATCTCCTCAAATAAGCAGAAATTGATGTATAAAGTATTAGCGCCTGGTATTATAACCCCCATATAAATTCTTATGGACTTATGGAGGCTCTGGACAATGTGTCTGTGGCTGGTTAAGTGTTAAATTTTTACCCTCAATATAGAAATCTACAGTTTAATGCACAAAAAGCAGTCACTATCTGAATTTGCCTAGCAACGGTCTACTGTAGTAAAGTAAGGTTTAGGTCTTTACGATTTGTACCAATTGCTTCCTGGCACATGTGTCTCGTTATGTTACCCGGCAACAGTGTGGTTGGGATGGTTGCCACGTCGTCATTTTGAAGTACACCTGCGTGTACACTGCCAGTTAGCAACCACAAATATCGCTCCGTAATGGGTGGCGGTAAGCAGAAGACTGCCTTGTGTTGTGTATCGTTGGCTTACACGACGTAATGCGTACATATTACGTCGTGTGTACCTATGTATGTACCGATGCTGTAATAGCGATATTGCCTAGCAACTGTTTTGTGTACAAATCAATTAGGCCAGGTTCACAAGTGCTGCATTGCCCTGTCACCCCTTTAATCCTGAGCAATTATTATGCATTGTCTGGGTGTTTCCACGGCAATTGAAAGTCATTTACAAAGATACGGCAATTCAAAGTCGTTTACAAAGCTGTATGAAGCTTAATTTTTCGCATGACACCCCCTTTTCCAGCACACCATATAAATCTTTATGATAGAATATTATCCCTTGCCCCACACCCGTCCTATTATGCTATATATCAATTACAAAGGGCAGTATCTATTCTAAACCACTAACTGGTGCAGTATGTCGTATTATGCTCAGTTTCACAACTGCGGTGGTGTATTGGTTTACAGGTACACGTAATACTCCCGTGTGTGTACTGGTTTTACTCACTACTGCACGCGAGTGTATATATGCGGCGTTGTGGGAGTTAAGTTTGATTGTACGTTGTAAAACCCTGCCTCTCCTCCTCCTCACCCTCCCTCGCTCCTTATCTTACACTCCTCCCTTATTACACCTTAAACCTCCCCTCCCCCCTCTCTCTCTCTCCCCATCTTACTTCACTCACTTCCTCTCTCTCTCCTTGTAGTCAGCATTCTATAGCAAACCACACTTGTCTCCCCCATCTTACCCCCTCTCCCACTTGTTCCATAGTTCTCTTGTCATCTATAGCCTCTTGCTTACTTTTGTACCATACATGTCCCTCACCCCCTCTCCCACTTCTTCCATAGTTCTCTCGTCATCTATATAATTAACTTTTGCTTACTTTTGTACCATACATGTCCCTCACCCCCTCTCCCACTTCTTCCATATTAGTCTAGTTCTCTCGTCATCTATTACTGTTTGTGTAGTTTTGTCTCCTTTACACATTCAACATACACTTCTTCTCTCCTCCTCCTTCCTCCCTCTCTCCCTCCCTCCCTCTCTCTTCTCCGTCCAGATTGTCGTAATACTAAGAGGTCTGCCAGGCTCGGGAAAGAGTCACATTGCCAAACTCATCAGGGTCAGTCACTATGACAACAGACGATCTTCTTTCACTTTCAAATATCACTTGCTAACAAACATTCTAACAACACACAGGCTATGGAATGTACACAGGCTAATCCTTATGCTAAACCTACCCACACTACAAACATTATACATACACACTGATCCCTATTTTATGATGTCATACTTACCAACCTGCAGATGAACCTTTGCTTCAAATTTGCTTGATTTGGAGTGTTTTTGCTTGAAAATGCTGCGTGTCCATTCAAGTATAGATAGGCATGATGCATCACAGGTTAGCACAAAAAAAGAGGGATTAGGGATTTTCTGGTGGGATAAGCAGTATTTTTGCTTGATTATTAAGCAAAAGGCTGGATGGTTGGTAGGTATGTGATGTGTGTGTGTGTGTGGCTGTGTTTCTGAAACTCGAATAGTTTAGTAGCAGAGAGTACGCTGGGAACAGTAATTATAATTCATTGCTGATGGTCCTATACAGTAATGTATCTGTTACCGCCTTACGTATTGGGTGATACATATGGGGCATAATGCTTAGTGAAGTTGCGATGTGTAGCGCATGCAATGTGTACTGTATGTAAAGCATAGTGTCTAAGGTGGCAGAGGGTAACTTTATGTTTGGGGTGGTTTCTTTCGCTAATTACGATGTCGTGCGGTTACCATAGAGATGAGAAGTGCACTATTTTTTTGATGGTACGATGACCTCATGTCAGCATATAGCATAAAGGCTATGGTTGCCTTGACTGCACATGCAACAATTTTGCTGGCTGTGTAATAATTTTACCCTGGCGGGCCACTAAATTTTTCTCCTTCAGGAGAAGGAGCTGTACTACAATTTACTAGCCGTCCAATAATTTTGCCCCTGCTCTACAAATTTTTACAATTTTTCAGGAGAAGGAGCTGTACTACAATTTACTAGCCGTCCAATAATTTTGCCCCTACTCTACATATTTTTACAATTTTTCAGGAGAAGCTGTACTACAATTTACTAGCCGTCCAATAATTTTGCCCCTGCTCTACAATTTTTCAGGAGAAGGAGCTGTACTATGGAGCCCCAGCGCCGAGACTGTTGTCGCTGGACTCGTATTTCCTGACGGAGGTTGAGAAAACGGAGAGAGATCCTGACACGAGGCGACGGGTGAAGAAGAGGGTTCAGGAGTACGAGTTTGAGCCCGAGATGGAACAGACGTACAGGTATGGAAAATGGGAATCCTTGAAACCGGGTATAGGATCGTCTAATTCTCAAGTTGGTCTAAATTGGTTCATGTTTTCAGATGTATTGCTACTTTTTATGGCATCCACGCAAAGTGTGCAATTGCAAATAACTGTATCGTTGCATGATGGAAGCCAACCTTTTTTGCGTTTCTGTTTGCTTAGTTTATACTGCAAAAATCGCACGAATGATATCATTACGTACTTTTCCGTGGGAGTGATTTTGAGCCCAAAATGCATTAATTTAACCCCTTCCAGACTGGGTCACACAATCACATATTATTCACTGTTTTTTTTTCAGAGCGAGTCTCCTAAAGACGTACAATAAGACGTTGGACGAAGGGTTCTTCCCAATGATAGTGGTGGACGCACCCAACGACTGAGGGTCCACCATTTCGATCGCTACTGGAGCAACGGAAAGATGAGAGGGTTCGAAGTGTACGTAGCGGAGTTGATAGACTCTGTGGAGATATGTGCTGCCAGGAATATCCACCAGAGAACCAATGAGGAAATCCAGAAGGTACATGTACATACGTTTCTTCTTTTTTTATTTTTAAGAAAGAGCTGTCCTGGGTGTAGTTGACTTGTTTGCCTTGCCTGCCTTTCTACCTCGTTACCAAGTAGTTGAGACATGTACAGGTATATATACAGTGGAACCTCTGAATAAAGGACACCTCTCTATAAGGAAATTGGTTCTTCTCCATACTAATACAGGAGCATATGTACAACGTAGCTCTAAATGACGAACACCTCTTAACAGAAGGACACTTTCTTATCCCGAAGGTGCCCCTTATTCAGAGTCACTTATTCAGAGTCCCTTATTCAGAGTCCCATATTAGAGTCCCATATTAGAGTCCCATATTCAGAGTCCCATATTCAGAGTCCCATATTCAGAGTCACTTATTCAGAGTCACTTATTCAGAGTCCCATATTAGAGTCACTTATTCAGAGTCCCATATTCAGAGTCCCATATTCAGAGTCCCATATTCAGAGTCACTTATTCAGAGTCCCATATTCAGAGTCCCTCATTCAGAGTCCCATTATCAGAGTCCTTTATTCAGAGTCCCTCATTCAGAGTCCCATATTCAGAGTCCCATATTCAGAGTCCCATATTCAGAGTCACTCACACAGTATCTACCGCTGCTGGGAAGTTTTTAGGGCGGACAAAATGTGATGCATACAAAAATGGTACTGTGTATTATTATTATTATGTTGGGAAGTGGATTACTCTGTGTGTGTGTTGTTGCAGCTTGCCAGAGAGTGGGAAGACACTCCTCCTCATTTCACAAGACTCGATGTTACTCCCCTTGTCTCCGACTCTAACATCGATGAGGTTTGCTTTCTGAAATTTTATTACTAACTGGAAACTCGCAAGGTTTTCCGACATTCTAATACCAGAACCGCCTCTAGTTGTACGTACTGCAAGTTTGAGTTTTTTGACTCCCGTTAAAAATCTCTCCCAGGCTCTCGCCTAATGGGCGACCCTGCCTCTGGTTCCCAGGGGAGGTTGGTAAATCCCAGGCTCTCGACCCAGTGGGGGGCGGCTTCTGAGTTACCTTCTCAGGGGTGGGGTTGTATTTGTGATGGTGCATAGGCCAACATTATTAGCAAGCTAATGGTGTCTCCTGAGTCCAATACTTAGTTTTAGGGTATAGTCCAATGTAGGTGTAGTATAATAACCCCTCCCTGTTTTGACAGAACACCTAAGCCAATCTCAAAACAGTTCTCCCAATTTCTCAAAACAGTCCTTCCAATTTCTCACAACTGTCTAGAAACACCTAGACCTGGATACCCAAGTCTTAGATGCCTATCTTCAGCACAGTAGTGTTGCCAAGGAGTCCTTTCGATAATCTTTCGGTTATAGACTGCATGATGCCACAAAACAGTCCCAACTCCCTACAGAACTACAAAGCTTAGAACACTACTAGATCTGCCAACTTACAAATCACTGATACGCTCATGCTCATACACGCCAGGAATTAGAAGTATATAATGAGATGTAATTATTATAGGATCGTGGCCTCCCACAAGGCGGGGATGTCCCGATCCTCCCACCTCTAGTGGTTTACTGTTCCTCTCTCTATCATATACCCGGATACTACTCATCTCTCTCTCTACGTCTCTCTCTGTCTCCTCTCATCTCTCTCTCTCTCTCCCTAATATATAAAGTAGTGGATGTCGTGTGTAATCCACGTCGTAGAGACACCACAAGGGTAGCTGTATATAGCTCATGCTATACGTAGGTAGTTCACGTTCAGTATAGCAATCCAGCACAGACCAGATATGCTGTAGAGCTCAATAGAACTCGGCTGAAGCATATCTGTAGCTGTACACTGAGGTTTCCCTGTGTTTGGAAGAATAGATACATACGTAGATGTGTAACATTATGTATACTGCTGGTCTCCAAATGCGTAGTGGCCATCGCAGTTCGGGAGGTGTAATACGCATGTCGAGAGTAGTATACAAGAGGCCGAAACAAGATGTAATGCATGGTGGAACAATGGGGACTTTTCCCCTGATGACCGGAGTGCAGTCCCATAGATTTATTAGTAAGACTCAGTTTCGTGGAGTAGATTCATGTGCGTCTAGAGGCATCAGTTTTAGCGCATGGCTAGTAGTGACAAATATGTAGAGCGTCATGCTAAGTGTTACAGTTCTTAATTCAGCGCAGCGATCGGTGAAACGAGTATTCTTGCGAATGCGTGGAGTGTCCTCATGCACCAATATGGACAAGTGCCTCTAAAGCTTTTAAGTTTGAGTTTTTTGACTCCCACGTTAAAATCTCTCTCATCTCTCTCTCTCTCTCTCTCCTTATCGTTGGAAGGTTGAAAAGGGAGTGTGCTGGTTGCGAAAAAGTGGAGGGAGAGGAAGAAGTGGAGGCAAACATGAGTCAACAGGTTTGGCCTGTAGCATTCATGTACGCACATAATATGTCCTGTTCAGGCATGCTGATATAACTTGTCTACTAAACTAGGCGAAGCACACTGAAGAATGCTGATGCTTGGTGCAGCATAAATCGTAGGTTCCAGTAAATGTATCGGAACGTGGAGAGAGACCTGTCAGCACAGGAACACGAAGAATGGGAAGTGGCCACTAGTCTATGTCGCGTGTTGCATTAAAAAAGCTTTGCAAAATGATGACTGAATGATACCTGTACTTGAGGGTACTGGAGTGAGTTTACTTAGCATGACTGTAGGCCTAGCATCAAGCTACTGCACATAAGCTGCTAAGTTAATCATGAGCTTTGAAGAAAACGGCACTAGCAAGATGCGGGCGTACATTGGCAAATAGTACGAACGACCGTTTGTGGGCTGAGTGTATAATTGATCAGTAGTATTTGTATGTAATGTGTACAATACAAATATATGATGTAGCAGGGGCGGTCAAGGTGACAAAAGCGTCAGAGTGCGAACTTTGGCACTCTGCCTGTTGTTGGAGTTGGAATGTGACTCCCTCAAGCGG